TATGAAACTTTATGTGCAGCGTTGAAAGCAGTAACGAATAGATTTTTTCCACTTTTAGTAAATTATAATAATACCTTATTCACGGGAATTTTATGTTTGTGTTATTTTATTCCGAGTGAAGTCTATATTAGTTGGAGTTGGCACATTTCTCGGTATTAACTCAGGAATTTGGACAGTTCAAACAGAGTTTAGTCATGACGAGGCGATCAGCCTTCAAACACTTCAAACGTTTGGCCGACAGGGGTAGCTAAAAATATTCAAATAGTTCAGGAGTTTGGACTCCAGACAAACTGTTTGGACAGTCCAAACACGGTTCAGTCATGACGAGGTGGGCAGTTTTCGGACACTTCAAGCGCTTGGCCGAATTCAGTAGCTTGAAACATTCAAAGAATTCAGGAGTTTGAGCTCATGACGAGATATTTGGACAGTCCAAACAACATCGGGTCAAGACAAAGAGACCAAACAGTTTACAAGCAATTCAAACGCATAAGAATCTCGGGTAGCTTGGAACGTCTAAACTGTTTGAAAAGTCTTTGGTCACCTCCCCACGACCAAACTCTGTTTGGACTGTTCGGAAATTTCGTGATCGGAAATTCCAAACATGTTTGGACGTCTTTGCTTACGAACTCATCGCTAACCACCGTCAACAGATGCGTTATGTTTCGTCCACACAGGGCTCTGCAGTTTCATTTCATCTCAGGGCTGCGTTTTGGACGATCGGGAATCGTTTGCGTACGATTTTCGTAGGCTGTCGGATCCGTGTTCGGCGCGTGCGTCGGCGCATGCAGGAAAGAGACGAAGCCGGGGGGGCAGAGGGGGTTGTCCGCGACTAAACTTGGCCGAGCCCACGCACGTAGGGGTCCGCTAGCTGATTTGTACCGGCTGACTTGAGAAAAAAAACAGGGCGAGTAAGTACGTGCCGGAAAGAGAGGCCACTTCCGAGCAGTATGGATTAGAGAGAGATGGAAACGTTCTGGGAGATCGCTGAAGCGAAACAGATGATACGAGAGTGAATAGAACGCTCGGAGAATGAGACAGTCGATGAACAACGGAGATGTTTATATGGAGTTCGTTGTAATCGAAGAATCAGAAGAAATTTTAATTCAAATACAAATTGCCTGGCTATTTGCTTGGGTTCAGTAACATTTGGAACCACCGAACAGATGGAAATGTCAGATTTCTTGTTCTGTTATACAGGGTGATTCAATAAGTATCTAGAATAACTCGTTGCCTATTGATTGTATTAGAAAAGGTTTTGTTGAATTATATATCTTTTCAAGGGATGCATCGGATGGACAGAGTTTGATTTTTGTATATGCGTCAGTATCTCAAAAGATAAAAAATCGCTTTTCCCGAAATCTGCTAAATGTGCTTTAGACCGTTATTTAAAGTTTCCATTGAATTTTTACTTTTGGAAAATCACTTGGAAATGATCCCTCCAAATGGGAATACCCCGTTAACACATCGACTGCCACAGTGATAACAGCCGTATGTAGCCAGACACGCTTTATTTCGTTTTTTAAGTCATAAATCGTCGAACATATATGCATTTAGTTAACAGAGGCTGTTGATCTTGCATTAAATTATACTTCGATGTTAATTTTATGGAAAAATTTTCTAAGGATATTTAAATAATCCAGCCTTTTTGCAATTTAAGTGTTAATTCGAGTTTTCTTCCGAAAATGTTGTCGAACCGGCCACAATGCCCTGCGAGACGTGTCCCACACGCGGACCGCCGAGGAGGAAGGAGAAAGAGGTGTAGAAAGGGGCTGCCCGATGGGAGAGAGGGCGCGAGAAGTGAGTAAATGCGTGGGCGGCTGTCAGTGAGCGCGAGAACGCTGCGTGAGCCGCGCGTCGACTTGCGGCTCCGCTTCGGTCACGAGTTCCCCCGTTTCACGTGTTAATTCATCGGTCGAAATTAGTAAATACTAATCGAGGCGACTGTCTTGTCGAACGATAAGGTACCTAGACTTCGACCGACTTGCTCGGTCGGATGCGAAAATTGCTTGGTGATTCGTACGTGGTTTATTGTATTCGGTTATTCGGAAAGATCGTAGCTGTTATAAGGTAGAATTACAATCTATAGTATTTACTACTTTTTGTACAATTTCTTTGCATTTTTCAATTAATTTCGTTGCATGGGTGATATGCAACTTTGATTGTTTTGATTCAAAAAACTGCCGCTTTGGTTTAAAAATCGGTTTCTATATATGTGCGATTTTGTTTCTGACATTTTTTCTTGATACCGAATATTTTAACGACCTAAGGAATAATTGTCTGACGGGGTAGATTCTTATTAATTGTGTAGATCAAACTTTCTAGTTAAAATAGTGTAGGTTTTTTACAAGTTCGGTACTCACAGAACACAAAATAAATAACGTGTAATTTAAATGATGGACTGGGATGTGAATTTGTTTGAGCTAGTGTGTAAGTGCACGATTTCAAAGATTATTCAAAGCATAATAGACACTGTATTTTTGAATATAATGTCTGTACATTTTTCGTCTGTGAAAATAAATGAATGTTTACGCTCAAATGTTATGACGAAACATTAAAAAACTACAAGTAAAACCTTCATTTATCTTGTACTTCTGGATAGTTTTATGCAGATTTCTTTAATAATTTGATCACCCAAAAATACATACTGTCAAACATACATATGTCAGTTGAAGACACATTATAATTAACATTCAATCAATTAGATCAGTCTCAGTAATTAATACTGACCACAAATAGTTTCATTATAATTGTGTCTGGATTATAATTTAATAATTCATCGGTATCTTAAGCGAAAGTTATCTCGTCCAGTAACAAGAAGCCTGTTCATCTGAGGATTACGTTAGCTTCGACGCACAATTGTCTTGTAACTCGTTTCTCTTCGCCCATGAGAAAGAGTCGGCCGACAATTCATTGGACAATTAGAGTAACAAGCGAGAGAGAGGACTCTCCTGTCGAGTAATAAGTATCTATCTAGAAGTCCACCTTGTGGGACCAGTTTCCCGATATTGCTTTGTGATTCGTCTCTGACCTTCCATGGAATAAAGGTCCATAATTTTCGGATATCGTTCCCCTGACCGAAGTATTGTAGATTTCTTAATTTGGATTCGGACACGAGGCAATGTTACGCTACGTGTCGACGCAGTAGGTACTGGTTTTATGATTCAATGACCGAACGACGTGAAAGTTGTCGCGACTGATGAATAAATCTTAGATAATAGAGCAGTTTGGGGAGTCATTGACAGACTTTATACAGGGTGTTACTCAGAGGTTTGTAGTACTTGTCGAGTATAATAAAAAATATCTAATCAACATGGATCCTATAATCAATCCTTTCGGTGTAAAATTAACTTTTATATTTACGAGTATTCGATAAAATAAGTGAGTCTCTTCGTAACGTATTGAATGTAAACAGAAAAATTGTTTTTAGAAAGACAGTAATTCAAGGCTGTATGACATCGGTAGTACGTCGATCAATGATGCACTGGTGTGAGTTTTGTATTGAAATAGAATGAAGACACATCAAACATTTGTAACAAATGTGGAAACAAACTTCTGTATTTTTCATTGAAAGAATTGATTTTAGAACCTATAAGAATTTGAAATTTTAGATCCTTTTTTTTAACACCCTGTATACAGGGAATATAGGGTATTCCGCTTAAAACAGGCAACATAAATGTCTAAATGGCCACCTGAATTTAACCAATCATTTTGACTGCCTAGGTACTTCTAGTTGTCAATTCTTCGATTATGCTTTCTTCGATCGTCGGTTAATTTATTTTCTATTCGCCTCTTGATCTGAACAATTCGTCCCTGAACAAACGAACCTGGATGATCAAAATTCCATTACAATACTTTGAAAAACCGGTGTGAATTAAGAAAACGGGGATAGCCAGTGCCTAGCATTCACAATTAGGGATTAACAAAGTGAACCAAGTCAATTTCACTCCAATACATTACTTCGCAATGTAAACACCAATTTCACCGTAGTTTACCAAAATTCCGCAAGAACTTTCCAATATCTCCGTCGTCCGTCCCTTCTTATTTACTTGGACTGCGACGGAAGTTCCAACACCAACCACACGAATGTTTATACGCGCTCGAGTGAAAAAAAAAGCTACACCACATACGACGGATTATGGGTGGCGTTCGGTGCCTGAAAATAAACCTTCGGAAACCGGCACAAAATCCAAGAAACGTAATCTTAACGATATGAGTAACAGTTCTCGACGCAGTGACGTGTTCGAGAATCCCTAAAGAAACTCCAAGATCCTTTATTTTTACCCGAAAGAAAAAGAGTAATGGAAGTTGGGGGGGGGGGTGGAAACGATTTTAAATCTCTCTTTCCGACTCTTCCACCGCGATGAAAAACCCGTGAGGGGAAAAGCGAAAAGGGGTGGAAAACTATTTCCTTTCGAACAATTAAGGAGGCAGGGTAAAAAAGTCATTAAGAAATGTACTTCTGTTCTTTTATTTTTAATCAACGTGGAAGTTCTCCTAAACGTTACAAGATCAATTTCAACAATTATTTTTTTTTTATATACCGTGAGTGAGGATGGGACGTTCCTAAGAGCTTCGTTGCCGGGGTTGATAGAATGAATCCAAGTTCAGTATTACCTGCACGAAGTGAGTTAAGAAAATTAATTTAAAGTTAAGGGAACATTCGCAAAAACCCAATTTCTATGAGAACCCATCATCTGTCCCGCTGGCGGTTTTTTTTTATATACCGTGAGTGGGGGTGGGCCGTTCTTTAGAGCTTTGTTGCTCGTTTACCAGAGTTGATCGAATGAATCCGAGTTTGGTTATTACCTGCGCGAATTAAGTTAAGAAAATGAATTTAAAGTTAGGGGAAAATTTGCAAAAAACCAATTTCTATAAGAACCCCGCATCTGTCCCGCTGACGGTGGCTCGCTGCGTCGACGACGTCGGGACGCTCGACGCGCGCGCCCCCACCCTCGTCGGCAACCAACCCTCCCCACCACCACCTCTGTTGGCCACGTCCTCGTGGAAGGCCGTGTTCGTTTCCCGAGGCGGCATCAGCCGGCAATTCGCATTCGACCGACGTCTTGGTTTAAAGAGTCTCCGGGGACAAGACTTTTGATGATGACTTGACTTCTGCCGACTGGAGTGAGCCGCGGCCATAAGGCAGCACAGACGAAAAGAATAAGAAGACGAAAGAAAATAAGAATAAGCACCACAAGGCAACCACGAGAAGAATCGAGACAGCAGGATTACAACATAATTTTCTTCTTTTTTTTTTTCTTCGTTTCGAAATCGAATAGAATCGATCGCGAGTGACGCAAGAGGATTTCCTTTCTTCGTTCCGTTCTTTTCTCTAAGTATACATACGTACTTTTTTTTTTTTTTTTGTCCTGTCAATTTTGTTGTTGTTGTTGAGTGCCCCAGTGAGTGCACCGCACGGGAAGTTTGTAAGGCGAACCGGGGGGTGACGAAAGAGAAGAAAGGAGGAAGGAAAAACGGATAGCTGGCCGCCGGGGGCCCCGTTTTGTTGATCCCCGAAGAACGTCGACGACGAAGTACCGATTGAATTTAATCGACACAGACGACTTGGATTTCACCACTGGTCCAAGATGAAGCGACAAATGTCTCAGCCGCAGCAGCAGCAACAACAGCAGACGATGCAGCAGCAACAGCAGCAATCGATCACGCAACAGCAACAGCAGCAATATATACAACAGAGAACCGAACGACAGATCACACGTCAACAGATCACCAGTCAGCAGAGAGGTCAGTTCGGTGATGCTTGTTGATAATCGAGATTACTACCGTGTCCCTAAGTTCTCGACGTGTGCCACTCATAAACTAGAAAAATATTCAACTAATATTGTTGTTCGAAGTTACTAAATACCGTGCGCGAATCGCGATTCGTTCGTTAGCAAAGGTATGGAAATACGATATTGCAGAATTTCTCGTTAAAATGTCAGATCCATCAGCAGAATCCTCTATTAATAACCGAACACGTTAATAAATACCATTGAACTGCTTTCGAAATTCTTCGAAAACTTCTAACCTCGCAATCGTTCTCCAATGCAACCATCCAGTTCATGCGCGATTACATTTCGTCCACTCGATCGAATTCCAAAATCGTGCGTATCTAGCTGCTATGACAGCACAGAACGCATGAAATATTCCTCGGTTTCGATCGGTCGATGGAACATCGGAGACGCGGTAGAAAATAAATCTAGATCCCTCCGGATTTCTTAGCGGAGAATATCCCCCTCGACGAATATTCTATTTTCGAGCGGGAGCGCCGCCCCTGCCCGAGCCTCTAAAGATAGGTTTCCTCCACGCTCTGTACGACGCCAGAACGTTTCGAAAATTCCTGCACGCGCCGTAAACGCTCGCGTAAGGGTCGCCCTCCTCGAAGAGGGTGGCCCAGCCACGAAGTGAAATGGCCCCGAGACGCTAACACGCAGCTGTCAAAATCCACAGCCAATCAGACCTCCAACCACCCTCGCCGTCCGCCTCCTTTAGCGTCGCTTCCGTGGCCGACACACGGGGATATCTGTCATTGGCCCGTGGATTGCGGCCCCGGCTGCACTCGTTCGAAGGGAAAAAATGCGGCTTCTAAATCCGGCCAGACACACTTTCCACGTGGGGGAGGGGAGGGGGCACTCTCTTCGACGTTCGTTTACTAGTGGCGAACGACAACGATCGCTGGCTAATTAGTGAAACTGACGGAGATGATCGGGGACAGATGATCGATGGATGAACGGATGAATTGCTTGTCCTGTCATTTCTTTTTTCGCTCTTTTGAAATCTAGAGAATTGTACGAGATTCGTGCTGGTGCTCGAAACTTTGAAGGTTTCTTCGGTTTCTTTAGAGAAACAGATTCTTCGTGTGTAGGCTTTTATTTTTGTTTTTCTTCGGTTTTATGACGTATCGGTTGCTATATCTGGACACACGTCATACATTTGTTTTTAAAATGTATCACGTACTATTGGGTTATATTTATGTGAATTGATCCTTGTTTTGAAGATTAGTGACGAGTAGATTTACTTTCGAGTAATTATTGTTTTTTATTGATGGAAATGCTAGAACGCAGAAATGATAAACAAGATTTCATGTGTGCATGACGATGGTACTGTGAACGAACGGGAATGAAAATGTATAATTGCTTGAAAATAGACCTACTCGTCGTTTATTTTCGAAACGAAGGTCGGTGCAAGAAAATTTGAATTAATCGTAATGATATTTTGGTTTAATCGACCCGTTGATGTGTCAGCTTTTAGAACATGTATATCTGGAGGCTAGAGTGTATTAAGTTCATTTTTGAAAAAATGATATTTTACATGTTTCCTGTGTCAAATTTTCTACTCTTTCCAATGGTAAAAATGATGTTGTCCTAAGTCGTTTAGTTTTTACTAAATTCATTTGATTGTTTCTCGTAAAATTCGTACCGAGTGGTTCCAAAATTGTAAGATTTTTTCACTTTTGATTTGTTCTCTTCTGAAGTTTGAAAAGTTTGACATGGCTTTGAGGTCCAGATGTAGGTCATTAACGAAGATGGTTTAGTCTGTATTACGATCTTCTAAGGTAATTAGATTTTCGAGTGAAGGTTCGATGTCGTATAAAAAATTGTAAACACGGGGGGGGGGGGCGGGGGGCACTTGCCTAAAAAAAAAATTGGATTTTGCCCCCACCCTCTCCCTTCTCAGAGTTACAAAATTTTTGCGTAATATTTAATATTGCAGTGTAATTTGAAACACCACCAACAGCCTCTATTAACAAGACACATACATTTTCAACGATTTATGACTTTAAAAACAAAATTAAGTGTCTGGCTACGTACAGCCTTTTTTACTGTGGCAGTCGATCTGTTAATATTTTTGCTCCCACCCGACTGATAACCTGGCTACGCCCATGGTAACAACTGACTAGTATAATTACTTGGTTTTGAACTTCTTAGCTCTAAATATGAATAATAACGTCGAAAACAGCGTCCATAATATTCCAACGAAATCACCAACAGGCTTTCGAATGGCCACGAAACAGCCGAGAAAAGCTCGCAGTCGGTCCCTTCGCGGAATATTCGCGACGATATACATTGAACTGCGTGAAAGTGCTAGAACACGAGGATCGTTATTCTCAGAGTGGAAAATTAGTGCCGTGGACTCGCGGTGAAAATGGCGAGCTTACGCGAATTTACGCGCAGATGAGTTTGGAGGCGTTCCAGTAGGAAAATATAGTTGAAAATACAGTTTTGTTGCTGTATTGTTCACGTCTGTGGCGTTCGTTGCGCGATCCCATGCACCAAATCGGAAGCCTGCCAGAGAACAGTGCCGAAAATGGACGAAAGTAAAGGCCCATTTACATGCTGAAATAATTTGTGCAAAATGACTTGTGCATTCACATTTGCGCAACCAAATCATCGCATTTAAATGGAAGCTAACGCCCCTGGCAACTACCATTACTTTTCTTATTATTTAATTTGTTATAACTAGACTGCGGATTTTTATGCAAAATGACATTTTATAAAATAATTAATTAAGATAACAAGAAGGGTAGGAATTTCTTGGTTCCCTAAAATATCTTATTGGATTAAAAATAAAATAGAAAACATGTTGCATTTGATGAAAGTTTTGTCGTTTATTGTATATCAGTGTTCTACAGGCTATAAATGCATAAAATCCGTAGTCTAGTAATAACTAATTATAAATATAGTTTTTTCCATATAATGCAAATTGGCATGCATAAGTCAGTTTTCGTAAATTATTTGACCGTGTAAACTGGCCTTAAAAAACAGGTCCAACTCTGTTTTCGTCTCGTGACAAAATGACACCGTCGGTGTGGGAAGGGTCGTGTTGTTTCCCATGAATCATTTGGCCGAAATAAGGCTTCGGGTTAGTGTTTCAGTGTCGGAATATTCTGGTCGGTTTAATCACCGCAATAGAAACGTTTAATGCCCACTTCTTTCGGGTACGCCCACCCTCAATGGTCCTTGCTCATTCACGTCGCGAAAGAATAGATTTATGCTAGTGATAGGACTATATCGTGATTTACTACGCATTAAATTCTGTTATATATATTTTATAAGTTTTGTAATGATACTAGGCTGTTCTAGGAACATTTTATTTCTTAGCTAGCCATTTTATGGACTGGTAGAACTTATTAGAAAATTATGCACTGGTTTATTTTTATTTACATTTTAGACACTTCTTACGCATGCTGTTGATTGCAGCAGATTGCGTAAAATTGGCGGTGTTATTAACAGTGTAAATGCGTGTGTTGTTAATAGACTGCGGATTTTTATGCAAAATAACATTTTGTAAAGTGATTTTTTTTTTTTAAACGAATGAACCACTCGTCGAGAGTAGCGCGTATCGTGTAATTAATACACTCGAGATGCGAGCTGATGTAAGAGGTTGAAATGCATGCTCGTTTTTTCTCGGTCACGCGGGGGGAACAACCGCAAGGAAAGTACATACATAACGTAATTCTCCACGTGTCACGGTTACAGTTACGGCTATGAACTCAAAAATATGTTTCGCCGCGTTTTATGCAGTTCCGCGACAACACGTCTGCCAACTGCGCTTTCCGTCGTCTAAGGAAAACAGCGTGATCGACAACATCCGCCAAGTGAAATCAACGCTAATCCCCGAAGTGTATACGATCGATCATACTGTAATACTGATTCTCAACGCCAATAAGTGAAGAATACAGTCGTTCACGAAAGTCCTTATATACCCTATAAGAAAGTCATTTTGATTAATATAAACAATAACTGCATGTAATATGTTTATTTGTTAACGATGGAGGTAGTATTAACTTATTAGTCTGTGGGAATATTTGAACAAATTAGAAAAAACGAATTTCATAAAAATGACCCTCTTTATAGGGTATACGAAGACTTTCAAGGTCACGTTCATTTCTTTTAACGGAATGACCTATTTTTTGTACCATAGAGCGATAGAGTATCAAATTCTGAGTAGAAATGTGTTAACCTTCATAGATCCTACATCTAATAATTAACAAGGTATTTACAAAATAATTTTTAATACTGTAATACAGTAATTATTTTATAAATATCTAATAACTCGTCGACACGGAGAAATTCGAAAGATTCGCACGAGTGCAATTGCTTCGTGGCGAATTATGAAATCTGACTACGAACGCAATTAATTCCGACCACTGGTCGCTGTCAACGTCTCACGATTGACACATGTAGGTATATTCTACATTCTCGAGATTCGAATTCCTTTTTTTCTTTTCATTATAAATACATTTCACCGTAGTTAAGCGACGTAGACTTAATCGTGCTGATACGATCACTCGAGATCCCGAGAATGATTAAATATTTACTCCCGAAATTACTGATAACGAGGCTGCAGAACGTGTCAGTGTTGACACTCACTTCTTTTTGATCCAGTTGTTGCGAATGGCGATGTGGTTATCTGTATGTTGGTTTGTTGTCAAACACTGTGTAATTAATATACGGGGTGTCCCACGTAAAAAGTGTAGTATTATGGAGCAAGATGTTATTCTGCGTGACTAGACTGTGGAAGTTTATGCAAATTGACAGTTCCAGACAGGAATATTTAATAGCTAAAGTGAGACAGAATTTTAAAATCGGTATCAGACGCTTGACCATGTTGATAATAACGGATGAATAGTATTAAACTTTTTTAATGTCTGTATTTGAGATCAGGGACAAAGGTAACCATTTTTCTTTACTAGTCTGTAACTTTTTAATTCTGTAGAATTTTTGAAAAATTTTTAGACAATGAGAAACCTTGATTATTGGACCAGATAATCAAACCTTAAAAGTTAGAATATATTACTGTTATTTTGAAATAAGACTTTCTTGAAAATCACTCATTTGTTGTGAACTCTGTTGTCAAACTGGGTCAAATTGACCCAGAACTTGACTTTGAAGTAAAATATCTTTGAGGCATCATTACAAATGGTACTACTGGCGCCATGTAATAGTAACTTTAGGTATTTTAAAAAAAAAAATTTTTCAGAATTTTATTTTTTTTTCAAGAATTTTTTTAAACATGATGAAACTTTCAATGTTAATTTTCAACCATGAAAATATAGTCTATAATGTTCAACTTTCATCTTAGACTGTTTTTCGACTTAATGTAACAAATAGTTTTTAAACAAAAGCTGATTGAATAGTAACTTGGGTTAAATTGAAGCGGTCTGACAACTACGATTGAAAAAGGAGGTGTCACAACGAAGTTTTAAGGGACGTTTTCACCTTGAAAAACGAAAAATGACCAAAAAGAAAATATTGCCTAATATTTCTGTTGAGATTCCCTAGAAACCTGCAAGGTTCCAAGAAAATCGAAATTTCTGGGTTACCAAAGTTCCTATATTAGCGTACAATGCACTTACAAGTCAATTTATTAGTTGTTCAACCTAAATTAACCCTTTAACGGTGTTTGACGAGTATACTCGTGATGAAGAAATGACACCACTTTTGAGTAATGACTAGTTACACTCGTCATATATCAAAATAAAATACCTTTCGTTACACAAATTGAAATTGTAATAAAAATTTGCAAATATATTTCTTTAATTAGCATAAGGAAATCAAATAAATCATGCACGCAGATATATATTTTCAATAGAAAATTTCACAGTAAAAGGGTTAAAATGATGCTGCATTGCTCCATTATGAAGTCAACGAACGATAATCCTCATCATCGTCGATTCTTCATTCCGCTTGACTTTGACTCGCAGTCTGCCAGCGGCGCAGCTTCGACTCCCAAATGTCAGTCAAATTCCGATTGCCAGCGGGCGGTATCGTGTCTAAAAAGAATACAGGTCGCGTGTAGGACACGAGAAATTGCATACAAAACAGCCGTCTGTGCGCAGCACTAACAAAGCAGCAAGATCGTTCGTTGTGGTAGAAACGTCAGCTATTTCGCGCGACGATGCGTCCACGATGCTAAATCATCATTATTAATAAAGCAACGCTATCGACGGGCTCGAGTTACGAGGAATTAAAATCATCGTGAGAATTCTCGATGACATCGTCCTGATGATTAATTACACGGACTTAGCCGTTTACTGAGAAATTGGTGAAAGTTAGATATACCATAGAAAGGGGATTATACGTCTGTTAATCCAAGATTGATTAATTGGACTTACAGGTATTTTATTCTTGACCTTTGGAAGCACCAATTTGTTATTTATAATGTACTATTCATTTGGATACTTGTTTGTTATGAGAAAACTCCTTCGACTTTGAATATTTTCGATTCATATTTTATTAATAATAATATATTAAATGAAATATGAATATAAAATATTCAATGTCGAAGAAATCTGTACATGATAAATAAGGACCCAAATGAATAATATACAATAATAAATTGGGGCTTCCGAATGTCAAGAATAAAGTTAACTATGTAAAATTATAAAATTCTGATAAAAGTTTCCGTTAGAAAATTATGTTGCAGAATGTTTTACAACTTCAATTCTGGTGGGAGATAATGGTTAGTTCTACAAAATTTTCCACCCAGCTAAAGGCTTTTATATAATAAATAGAAAATGTAAAAATATCTGTCCACTATTAATTGATTGAAAATAAAAACGTAAGTGACATAATTAGATACCATTTCGATCAGTAGGTTAATTCTTCAAAGAAGAAAAAACCTGCAATCCCCAATCGTCATCTGATACCCAAATAAAATTTCAATCTTCCTGCTCTCTAACTACCATCTTCAGAAGACTCAAAACAGCTGATCAGAGCAGTAGCACCATGCCAGGCCAGCTCGTAAACAATAACATTCCATGAATGAGAGTGAGTGAGAGAGAGGGAGGGAAACGATGCTACAATCAGCCCAGAGGAGTAAAGTGTGCGTCGCGAGGGCAATGGTGCCGTGACTCCATTAACCCTCTTACAACAAATGCAGAGTCATTTCGACCCATCTGTATCTATTGCCGTATTCTTCCGTCAAGATGATATTTACAAATATCGCATCCCCTTCAGAAAAATTAAGACAAGTCAAAGAATTTCAATTTTCACTTCGTCCTCTAAAATGTCTTCCAATAACGTAAATCCACCATTCAGAAAAACGTCACAAAGTTACTCCAACGTACGGTAATACTCTATGCAGAATTCATTCTGGAAACCTGCGTGCAATGGGAACTATGGATCAGAATGACCCCGTGTTCGTCCGTTCTAAAACATCCGAGGGTTAAAACCGCGAGAAATTCACGGTCTCGGCTCCGAACGCGATCGAACAACCGAGCTCCCACGTTTACGATAAACATTCCCCGAATATTTCCCGTGCGGAGAGACTCGAACGAGGGAAAGAACGAGTCCTATGGTGGTGGGAGGGAAAGGAAAACAGCGTTAGGAGCTGTTTTATTTTGGTCAGTGACTGTGCTTTGCGTAACGTCCCCGGCGATTGGTCGAGGTGCATGTAGTCCGGCGCGGCGGCGTAGACGCGACGCGTCGCGGCGCTGGGGCGCCGTGGCAAAGATAGTTGCTCCTAAAATGGCCCACAGTAACGCGATCCCCATCTGGATGCAAAAATAGGATCCCGTGGTTATCCGACCACGTTACGTCCTTCTCCCTGACACTCGCCGCCATCTCTCTCTCTCTTTCTCGGCCACTTCGGGGAGGGGGAATGGTACACAACGCTCTCTTTTTCGACTCGACGCCATATTTCATTCTTTTTATTGCGCCAGGTAGCCGCCCCCCGACGTGCGTGTAGACCCCGTGCTGACCTTCCGCCTCGCAAGGTTGTGGACGCGCACCTTGTGACTTCGGGTCGATGTCATCGATGATTGCCGACGAGACTGTTTTTTTTTTCCTTTTTCGCATTTTTTTTTTTGTTCTTCTTTGGTATCTATTGGGTTGGCCAAAGAGTAACCTTGTATTTCTGCAGTAGATTCCATATATGGAATTAGATATTATTAAAAAATAAACGGCAGATCAAATCGCAGATCAAAGGGAGGGAATTTCAAATAAGAAATTCTTCAAAATGTTGAAAGATCGTGCGCATGTCGTTTTACTTGAATATACAGGGTGTCCTAAAATAAGGGGCTATCCGCAACATGCGCATTGCTGATGCAAATACAAATCGAAAAGTCCTTTACCGTTTTGTAATCTGAAGCTTCATTTCTGAGATATCAGCAGTTAAACGAACTCCAATCAGCTGAACGATCGGCCACGCGTATGCGCAGATACAGTGGAAAAACTCGCGGGCTTTGGCTTCTTGACTGTATCTGCGCCTACGTGTGAATTCGTTTAACTGCTAACATCTCGGGAATGAAGCTTCAGATTACAAATCGGTAAAGGACTTTTCGATTTGTATTTGCATGAGGAATATGCATGTGCCTGGTTGTCCTATCATTTCGGGACACCCTGTATAGCATACAGTACACACGACGCATCGCAAGCTTCGAATTTTCGAACGATAGCGTCATTGCCCCCAGAATCCACTCAGCCGCTTAACCATGATAACGAAAGTGGTTTTAGCGGTGTACACCGTGGATTTAATCGGATGTTTATTTTTGCTTCACTCAACCCCCCACTCCCCTACGTGTTGCTTCTGACAATTAATTTCCTCCAGTGGCTGTCGCCCGTTTACCGTTGATCGTGTTGCACGCGTAATTTCAGGTCAAAATTTTTCACCGGAAGGGTTGCTCGTCGATGATCAAGAAAACAACCGCGATTATACGCTAAGAGAGAAATCTGTTGCGAGAGGAATTTGTTGATAAAGAGGTGCAGACGCAGAAATTGTCTCGAAAACACGTGTCCAAAATTGTAATTACAGCTCGCGGGTCATCAGTATTTCGTGTCAACAATGTCCTGTGCTTAATTAGCGAATTGACTTAATTGCACCGCGTCCCGTCGCAGATAAGCCCACTGAGAAATGCGCGGCAGGCGTGACGGCGACAGAAAGAAAAAAAAAAACGGCGTCAACGGTTCGTTTCCTCGTATTCGTTCTACCCCAGTTCAGAGGAACGAGAGGAAATGTAGAAGGAAAGACGTTGTGTTGCGCACGGAAACGGAAATAACGAGTTTCGAGAGAATCAGGCGAAATCTCGAGCGAGGATTTTTCTTTCTGGTCGAACAGTCGGATCGAGAATGAAATCGCTTCAGGATCGTGGAAAAAGAAAACCGTCGTAACAATCCTTAAAACAGCTATACAATTTCTCACGCGATGTAAATGAAGTAACCGTTAGACGTAATTTGTGTTCGTTATTTCACGCTCGTCTAACGTTTCGTTTTTTTTTCTTGTTGCAGTTCAAGGGGAGATTGTGATGCAGTCAACGCCCACGGTACCATCGTAAGTACTTGAACCTTCTTATATGATTTCCATCAAGAAAAATGTTTTTTGTTTGTAAAATATGTAAAGTCAACGGTACCTGTTTATTGAATGAAAAATTATCATACCCATGGTATAGAGTTTGATAATGAAGGCAATTCGATGTATTCAAAATCTAATAATTTAATACTAAGAAAGTTTAATTATGCTATTGAGAAAATAAAGGATTTCTATGCAAAAGGCTGAATGACATTGATAAATTCTCAGGAAATTTATATAACAACTTCTAAATAATTCTAAACTTATTCGAACTATTCTATTCATATATTCTAAACATTCCTCTTCAGAAGGGATTCTGAATATTTTGTGTTCGGAACGGATTCACCGATTATATTTACAATGTTTGTATAGATTTACCGGCAGGCCCGGTGATCCATCGCCGCCGGTATTCGAGCAGATTTTCAAAAACGCCAGATTCGCCCAGGGCGGAAACGCAATTTTCGAAGGACGAGTCAGAGGGAATCCGAAGCCCACCGTTTCCTGGACGCACAAAGGTGCCCCGTTGTTGGAGTCATGGAAAATTCGGATGTCGTACGACGAGAAAACGGGAACAGTCACCCTTCAGATTAATCAGATTGGTCCGGGAGATGAAGGCGAATATACGTGCAGTGCTAAAAACCAATATGGTGGGTGGAACATAAAATATTCTTAAATATTATCGCACATAGACAACCGATTTATGGATTTATCACGCTATAAACACAACATAAGAATTTATATTTTGCCTTCATCGTTTTTAAAACGACCATTTATTTAGCATCAAGCTAATTAATTAACATTTACTTAAAACTATCTGTTTTGAATAAGAAATCCACTGAATTAAACTGAATTTCTTATTGATAAAACCAAAATAAAAAATTAAATCCTTATTGGTAAACCCAATATTTAAAATTAACGAATCATGTTCCACGATGAAGTATCCTAAATGTTAAGTTTCACAGATTTTGTATGATAAAATTAAATCAAATAATTTTGATTATCCAGGCGAAGCCATCTGCTCGGTTTACATTCAGCCAGAAGGATTCGGACCTCCGCCGCAGCAGCAGGGAAGTTTCAGAAAAGAATACGCGCAGTCTTTCCAGTCGACTGAACAGAAGACCCAAACCGGAAGCCAGAGTTTCCAACAGCGCAGCTATCAGCAAACGGTTGACAAACGAAGCTACATGAACGGATCCTCCACCAGCATCGAGGATTTCAAGGTTCCCGAACGTTCGATATCCACGTGGAAATGTTCGACGATCTGGACATTTTTACGAGGATTATCTCGAAGATTATGGGTAACGGATGGACGATAATCCGATGAACTTTCAGGTGGACACGTTCGAATACAGGCTGCTGCGGGAGACAGAATTTCGAGAGTCGATTACTCGCCGCTTCGTGGGCGAATCGGACGTGCAGATTTCGACGACGGTCGACCGTAACCTGGGACCGGTTGCACCTCCGCAATTCGTGCAGAAGCCGAGAAACTCGAAGCTCGTCGAAGGATCCGACGCTGTTTTCACAGCGAAACTATCTGGCAACCCGAAACCAAGAGTAAGCTCTGTTTTTTCTTTCGCGATTCATTTATTTATGGTTGTTGGAACAATTTTATTTCCTCAAATATACATTAACACTTTGACTGTAACAGTGAAAAAAGGCGTACGTAGCCAGACATACTTTATTTCGTTTTTAACTCATAAATCGTCGAAACTATGTGCGTTTAATTAATGGGGACTGTTGGTCTTGTTTTAAATTATATTGTGATATTAATTTTAGGCAAAAATTTGTAACCTTATTTAAATAATCCAACCCTTCTTGTAGTGTACGTGTCATCCATATCCGTATAACATTTGTCTTTTCCAAATTTGTTCATTTTCACACATCTTACATATCTTAATATTAAGTTTACATGTTGAATAATTCATTATCCAACATTTCGTGTATTTCAAGTCGAATGTAAAAAAGCAGTATATAATATTAACGATTTTTTACGCTTCTTGTTTAATGGAGTTAAATAGTTTCACCTCTGGAGGACTCATACGTAAGAAATAACGTTACTTAATAGGTGATCTAGATAAAAATAAAAGTACTAGGCTATCCAATGCTTTGAAATGATTGCAATGTTCGTTGCTTTGTTTCAGTTAACTTGGTTCAAAAACGGCCAAAGGATCCGCGAGTCGCAACGCGTCGAGATGAGCCACTCAAACCAGCAGGCCACCTTGAAGATCAGAGTCGCTTTACCGGAAGATAGCGGCCATTACACCCTGCTCTCGGAAAATCCTCAAGGTTGTACCGTCAGCTCGGCGTATTTGGCGATTGAGTCCAGCGGCGATCAAGTAGATCAAGCCTATCAAACGTATCAGAAAGAGACGGTGAAGGCTCAGCAAGTAGAATCGACCAGCGAGTCCGACTCTGGCAAAGTTCTGCCCCCGAATTTCGTTCGCACCTGCACCGATCGCGATGCTACTGAAGGAAAAATGACTAGGTAAACCTTACCTTCATTCTTTATTCTCTACAGTATAAAATACATTGTATAAAATTTTTTAACAAATACGATCTATTAGCAGTACTTTCAAAGGGGCCCCGATCTAAACCTTTCGTTTATGTCAAAACATAATTGAATGAAATTTTGTTTACTGTTTCCCTTTTGAAATAATTAAAAATTGTACTAAATGTAGAAATAAATCGGATGAAAATTGTTAAAACATAACGAACCATTGTAATCAAGGGTTCGTTAGGATTAAATCATAAGTAGGTGTTATATTAGTAGTACTTATATACTCATTGAAGTATAATATTACTTTGATTTAGCCACAAACTTGAAATAACAGAAGTGTATCAATATTATACTAGTATTTTATATTGCGTGTCGTATTCGTATGATAACACAAAAAATGTTATTCCCATTTCAGGTTTGATTGTCGCGTAACCGGCCGTCCGTATCCGGAAGTGACATGGTACATAAACGGGCAACAGGTGGCCAACGACCTGACCCACAAGATCCTGGTGAACGAGTCCGGCAATAATTCCCTGATGATCACAAACGTGAGTCGCGCGGACGCTGGCGTCGTAACCTGCGTCGCCAGAAACAAAGCCGGCGAAACCTCGTTCCAGTGCAATCTGAACGTGATCGAGAAGGAACAGGTGGTCGCCCCGAAATTCGTCGAACGTTTCACCACGACGAACGTGAAAGAAGGTGAACCTGTTGTCTTCATGGCGCGCGCGGTTGGCACACCTGTGCCCCGTATCACCTGGCAGAAGGTAATTCGAAAATCAACATTTTCTGACACATTACCCTAGCAGTCAATAATTATTCTAAAAAAAATTGGGGTTGATCTCATTGCAGAGGACATACTTTTTTTTTTAACGGGGGAAAAACCTTGAAAAAGTGCACTGCCTCCGTTGGCTTGAAACAACCTGAAGAAGTCGTAATCTGTTTATTCGTACCTTAACCCCTTGTTACCAGAGAACGTCGCATACAGGATCGCATAATATTCCAAAGCATGTATAAAATATTAATGTATAATTTTTCTATTTACAGGATGGTGTACCGTTAACACCTGGACCAGAAGTGTGTATATCAACGGACGGCAGCGGAGCATCATCTTTGGATATACCCTGCGCAAAATTGTCGGATGCAGCTTGGTACCAGTGCACAGCGCAGAATGTGGCCGGCTCTACAGCCACCCGAGCACGGCTTTTCGTTGAGACACCGAAAGGATCGGCCCCCGAACCAAGACGCCTGAATTTACCCCGACCGACGAAAGTCATCGAACCAGAGTAAGTAATACTAATTACTATCAATATTAAATATTCTCTGTCGGGACGATTGAAACAAACGAAAGTTGGTTCATTTCTCGAAGAAAATTTTATGTAAAATTTTATGTTTTAAACTGTTTTGTGAAACTCTGTATTTGTTTCGAAGTAATTCAATCCAGCGAATTTTCAAATTCAATTATTTGGAAAACGAAGCGACAAATGGAAAACTGTTATTCTCTTTTTGGATTTAATTTTGCATGTGGAATTACCACCCGATTGTTTATACCACAATTTTGAGGACACCCTGTATAGTGCCCTTCTATCATAAGATCACGGAGGGTTAATAGATAAATGACGTCTAATTAGACAATTTTTCTTTTATGCAAACTGGAAGTGTCATGGTACGAGTTTAATTCGATGTATGACTTACAATTGAGCCGTTCATTTGCCAAAATGACTGACACCACAAAAATATCAAAAGTTAAGCACATGTGCTCCGACAAGAAAATTAAAAAAAATATTCGAAAAGTAAAGTTAGTCAGTTGGTCTCTGAACGGTTCGATCTAATTTTCCATGAACAGAGATGACCTTGAAAATGTTTGTAGACCAGCGCCTGGCCCCGAAGTGATTTACTTGCGACACGTAGAACGTGCCAAGCCATATTTGCCTCCGCCCGAGGAGGATCGAGTTTATCCACCGCCACGTTTTATTATACCGCTGAGGGACGTCCATCAGATCGAGGGTGGACGGATTCACTTCGAGGCCAGAATCGAACCGGTGGGCGATCCCACCATGAGGGTAGAATGGTATGTCAATGGAAGAGCTCTTGATGCGAGTAAGTCTTTGTTTTTTAAACCTATTTTATTTAACAAAAAGTTCGTGCACCTTCTTAAACAATATCTTTCGATAACTTGTAAAAATAAGTTAACTAAATCGAATTGTTGATTCTAGGTTCCCGGGCGACTTCCATTTTCCGATTTGGCTTCATCTCTCTCGACCTCATTAGTATCGTTCTCCAAGACAGCGGCGAATACTTATGCCGCGTCGTGAGCTCGACTGGAGTCGCCGAATCTCGAGCTACCCTCAGCGTGACCCGTGAGTATGATTTAACATTTCATTAAATGCCGATTTATCCAACAATTCTAAATGCTCCTCGCATTTAACAAGAAAAATTAAAGAAAACAATCAGATTTTCAATATTTCATTTAAACAAATGACTTTTTTAAAAATTGTTCACATGCTTTGATTCTACATTAAAAAACCTACAATGTAAAAACTAATTTGATAAAGATATTAGTCGTTTAGAAGATAATTGGATGTCAGGGATTTATCCTTTTCGTTCGACTGTGCGACGTGACAACGGCTAATAATTACCAAACCAATCATTAAGTGTTTCTAGAATTTTTTTATCTTCAATCTAATGTTACAATACCACTAATATAGAAAGAAATTATTTACAAACAAACATAAGAATACAAGTGACTGTGCCTCACAAGCATTTATGTCATTGAAATAAATTATTTAAAAAAAGAATAAGAATTTTATGTCAGAAAAACAGAAAATGGACCCCCCTTACTATGAACTGTGTCTCTCAGGCACATAGCAGGCAATGTTTCAGACGAAATTACTGCATAATCCGCCGAATTTTCTATTATAAAATTATTATTGCAGCACGCGCAACAATCGAACAGGCTAGCCAACACCCCGACAGCCTCCAATATATCCAGCAGCTCGAGGATTACAGCAAATATCAAAGGCAGGAGAGTGTGGAGGAGATCTCTCCACAGCGGCCGGCCTTCATCCGACCACTCCAGGATCTAGGAGAGCTGCAGGAAGGTCGGAACGCCCACTTCGAGGGGCAACTGACCCCTGTTAGCGATCCCACGATGAAAGTGGAGTGGTATAAGGATGGTAGGCCAATCACAGCTAGTAAGTGTCCTGATAATCATTGGTCCCCATTGTTATTAATATTATATACGTCGAATTTTACTTTACGATCACTGTTCTCCAGGCTCAAGAATCACAACCATCTTCAACTTCGGATACGTCTCGCTCAACATAATGCACCTACGAGCTGAAGATGCGGGTTCTTATACAGCCAGAGCTGTGAACCGCTTGGGAGAGGCCGTCAGCTCCGCGTCTCTCCGTGTCTTTGGTAATTTTTTATCAGAAAATCCTTAGAATCTAGTAAAACAAGTAGAATTAATTCTGTTTTTACACGATAGATACGTTTGCGAAAATATTCGTGTAAAAAAGGTACAGAAAGAAATATTGTGCATATTGCGGATTTTCTCCGGCCATAGAATCCAATAAAAATACGATAAATCAATTGAAAATGTCTCTTTTTTTTTTCATGTTGAATTATATTGTTTTAAATTTAACTCTCAGACAACTCTTCCATAAGTTATGGGATGCTCTAGTAAACAACCCAGATAGCACACGACGCATAATGACGTCTTGAAGACGGCTTAAAGACGCCTTAGGCCTAAAATAGCTGTAAAATGGGCGTCTTCATGGCGTTATGTACTATCTGGGAATATATCTAAATACAGTTCACTGAATGGACAGTAGTCACTGGGTTTATAGAAGAGAAACTGATTGTACTTCGTTTTCGGATTTCTCCGCAGCACGAACGAATGTTACTTCAGAATTGGGAATCCCCGAGCAACAGAGATATATCGAGGCTGCCGAGGAATTGGAAGCCTATCAACAGGCAATGCACCAAAAGTACGTACAGGAGCAGCCTGAACCGAGCAGCCCACCGGATTTCAAATCGCCTATCAAGGATCAGAACAGCATACGAGAAGGCGGATTTGCTCATTTTGAAGCACGTTTAGAGCCAGTCGGTGATCCCGACCTGAAAGTTGAATGGCTCAAGGATGGTCGCCCTGTAGAAGCTAGTAAGTATACAAGACTTTCAAACTTTCGTACATTAACATTATAAAGTTATAAAATTCCGAATACAGATACTCGAATTAATGAGCTTTTGCTGGTCTAAATTTCGAACCCCTTGTGTGACCAATAAAATTGATAAAATTGTCCAAAAACTGCCTTTTTTTTCTTTCGTAAATTAATTGGATAGTTCTGAATTTTCTTTATTACTACCTTCCTGGTCGAGATGCTGGGTTGAAAATTGGTGGAGGTTGTTTTGTTTTTTTTGGTAAGCTGTCTGATAGTTTCTCAAAAGTCCAATTCGGTTTAAGCACACTTTTAACCCCCTCATTCGGCTGTACCCATATGATCATTGTTACCAGTTTTTGTAAAATAGACAAGAAAGATCTATACTTGCATAAACATCCACAGTCTAATAATATCCAAGTGGCCAAATTATCTTGACAGAACTAAGCAACAGTTCCTTTAAAAAACCATTCTTTTCTTCCAGGTTCACGTATCACGACGTTCTTCAACTTCGGTTATGTAGCACTAACAATCAAATATGTGACGATCTACGATGTCGGTGTGTACACGTGCCGCGCGTACAATCGCGTAGGCGAAGCGCACACCACCGCTCAATTGAGCGTGATTAGCAAGAACGATGTTATATACGACAGTCAACACCCCACCGGACTTCAAAAGATTCAGAGCCTGGAAGATTCCAGCAGATATTCGCGACAAGTACAAGAAGAGACCCAAGTCACTCAAGCACCACGATTTCTGGGTACTCTGAAAGGCACAAATAAGATCGTTGAAGGGCAGCGTGCCCATTTCGAGGCTCGTGTCGAGCCACAAAGCGACTTAACCATGACTATCGAATGGTACCACAATGGAAAAGCAATCACAGCTGCGAACAGAATTCAAACCTACCACGATTTCGGATACGTCGCCATCGATATCCTTCAAGTTAGACCTGAAGACGCTGGTACTTACACCGTCGTCGCTAGGAACGCTCTTGGCGAGGCAAAACTGTCTGCCACCATGATCGTTGAAAGTAAGTTCTCTTGACTTTCGTGAACAACAACGATATTGTCACCTATTGACGCCCTTCCCAGTCAGCCAAACTTGCTAAACCAAATTTTTTCCAATGCCTGTTACAAAGTTATAGCGACAAGTTTGATGCAATATTTGCTATAAACAGCTGGCGCGCACATTGACAGAAAATTGGCAGCAACATGTGCAGAAAATTTACTTTTTTTTCACCCGCTAAAAACCCCCCGGTGACCCTCTCGGGCGTGAGGGTGATCTTTCATTCATCCCTCTAGATCTTTGAGGGAGGACTCTTCTCTTTTAGGACTTTTATCATTTATTGCTGACAATTTGCTCGAATCTTGTGTAAATTAAAACATCTTGTTTCGTTCTATTTCAATTATAGCACGCTCCAGTGTCGATACCAGCAGCATGAACCGCGGATCGTACGAGAAGACGCAGCGTCTCGAGGAATCGAAATTCGTGGAACCTCACTACCACATCGAAGAAATCTCGAAATCAAAGCCAATTTTCGTTCAGCCGTTGAGCGATCCTAAGCCAGTGAGCGAGGGCAAGAATATCCATCTTGAGTGCCGTTTGGAGCCAATGGGCGATCCAACGATGAGAGTCGAATGGTTCCAAAATGGCCGTCCAGTCACCGTTGGCTCTCGATTCAGAACGTACTATGACTTTGGTTTCGTCGCTCTGGATATTGTTCATTCAACTGTCCTCGACTCTGGAGAGTACACCGTAAGAGCTACCAATCATCTTGGTACCGCTCATACATCAGCCTGCGTGAGAGTAATCGGAAAGTCCGATATTGTTACGGAAACGCAGCACGAGCAATCGCTCGAGCAGATTCAGATGCTCGAAGATTCATCAAAGTAAGTAAAGAAGAAAAATTATACTTGAAAGATCATCGTGTTCTTAACTGTTTAAAATTTTATTACCCTAAAATCCATATGCACTGAATTTGATAGTTTAATTGTTACTAGAATTTAACATTAATCTAAAGAGGCTGTTCGTCGTGTTTCAAATTATACTGCAATATTAAATATTACGCAAAAATTTTGTAACTCTAGGAAGGGTGGAGGGGGTGGGGCCAAAATCGAATTTTTTTCTTGTAGGGTTTGGCAAAAGCCACGTTTTTCCGTTCAGGGGGGATGGGGCAGTGCCTAGGAGGTTTAAATTTTATATCTAATAAGTTTTTTGTCGATTGTTGCGTAAATAAATAATAAAATTTGAATTTCTACGATAGCAGAAATCTTACGTGATTAAAAATAGAGACATTGGCTTTATGTATCGAATAAAATTAAAAACGGAAGTGATTATTTCACAGGTACCGCAGAACTCAACAGGAAGATGTGACAGTAATGCAGGCACCTCAATTCACCCGAGCCCTGCACAACATCGAGACAGTAGAGCTCACCAACGTCCACCTCGAGTGTCGTCTTCAGCCTGTCGGCGACGCCACGATGAAGGTCGATTGGTTCGCCAATGGAAGGCCGGTAAAGACGGGACACAGATTCAGACCGTCTTACGAATTCGACTACGTTGCACTCGATATTCTCGGTGTGTACCCAGACGACTCTGGTGTCTACACCTGCCAAGCCAGAAATCAACTTGGCGAAGCAGTCACGTCTTGCTCCGTGAGGGTACACGCGAAGAAGGACTTACTTCTGGAAACGCATCACCCTGAAGGCTTGGAAAGAATACAATACCTGGAGGACGCTTCCAGGTACAAGAGACGCGAGGTCGTCGACGAGGTTGTGAACGTTAAGCCAAGATTCATCACAGCCCCGAAGAACCAGGAGAACCTTCGCGAGGGACAACACGCGCACTTCGAGTGCAAATTGGAACCTGTGACGGACTCGAACTTGAAGGTCGAATGGTTCAAGAACGGACGTCCTGTTACCATAGGTAAATAGAATTCCTTTATGTTTACTTAACTCTTTGGAACACAGTATGGTATGAAAAATATCCAACTGTTTTAATTAAAATGACTAAAAGTGAAAAATAATTAAAATATTACTGTTTCGTCACATTTTATAAAAATAAAATTTCTGTGCAACAAGGAATTTTTTTGTTAGAACATCATGTGCTTCAAAGGGGGTTTTATAACAACTATAATATTTGTTAAACGTATAAGATTTTCCATTTTGTAATGCATCGGTAAATACGTTTCATCAACAGGACACCGATTCCGTCCAATACACGACTTCGGCTACGTCGCTCTGGACGTGATCGATCTGATCGCCGAGGACTCCGGCACTTACACCTGTCGCGCTGTAAATCTCGTAGGCAGCGACGAGGTGTCATGCACACTGACCTGTCGATCAACAGCCCAGGTCTTAACGGACACACAGAACGAGCTCGGTCTCGAAAGGATCCACTATCTAGAGGACAGAACAAAGTATCATCGTCAGGAAGTGGTCGAGGAAACGACCACCCAGGCGCCGATCTTCACGACATCCTTGAATAATGTGGAGATCAAGGAGGGTCAAAGAGCTCACTTCGAATGCAGATTGATCCCTGTGTCCGATGTGACGATGAAAGTCGAGTGGTTCCACAACAACAAACCGGTCAAAGCTGGATCCAGATTCGTCGAGACGAACAGCTTTGGTTTCGTCGCGTTGGACATCATGTATGCGTATCCAGAGGACTCTGGAACTTACACATGCCGTGCCAAAAATATTATCGGAGAGGCGATCACTTCGGCAACTGCGGTTGTTCATTGTAAGTTGTTTCATTATTTATTTATGCTATACTAGAAGGGACTGTTCAGTAGATTGTGGATTTTATGCGGTTATTTTATTTACCTTACCGCAAGTTGGGGTAACTTTGACTTAGAAGGGAAGGCACGGAAGTGTCTACTTCTGATTTTTATGAAACTTCGTATGTCTGTTAAGCAGTCGAAAATAAGGGATACGTATTTTTTTTTTATCGGCTGAGACGCGACTTTAAGGGGTGAAACCACCCCTCGAAGTTTCGATCCGAAATTTTTTTGTTATAAACAAATTATATTTTGGACAATTTGTTAGCACCATATTATTATACATAAAAAACTGCAAACCACGTCCATTAGAAGTTTTCATGTATCTCCTCTGGTTTTCGAGATAGTATCTAATTTCGGGTCGAAATTCTTATCGAGTACATTTGATTCCTTAAGTACGTAATTCAGTATCAGTAGAAAATATAATACTGATACGAAGTGACATCACTGATAATTCGAAAATTAATCTTAGACATGAAACTAATTCAGTTTCTGTTTACACTTAAATAATATGGAAATATTCTAGTTGATTTAGGAAGATACTATGAAAATTCTTCTAAGAAAATACTCAATTTTGTTAGCATTTTAAAAACAGTAAAGTTAATGCTGATCTTTTCCCAACAGCGAAAAAATCGATCTACATGGAAACTCAGAACGAAGAGGCTCTTCAGCGTCTTCGTTATTTGGAGGATACCTCGCGTTACCAACGCAAAACCACAACAGAAGAGACCGTTACTCAAGCACCAGTATTCACAATGCCCATCAAAGACCTCAAAGTCGCCGAAAACCAGGCGGCTCATTTCGAGGCTCGTGTGATCCCTGTTGGCGATTCCAAATTGAAAGTGGAATGGCTGCGAAACGGAGTTCCAATTTCAGCCTGTGAGTGCAATTTTGAATTTTTTTATGCAACATCACATCTTTGAATCGCCAGTTTAAGTAAACAAATTTTACGACAAAAAAAAAGGAATAGATTAGAAGTTCTTAGAAATATAAAACTAATTGATAAATAATTTTGATTAATTAAAATAATTCTATAAAATATTAAATTATTGTAATATGAGCCACTTTTTCTTATACAAAATATTGTATCAAAATTGTATTACAAATAGAGAATGTATTCGAAAGCCTAGAAATTCGAGGATGGTTGATAAATAATTGAAATTAACAAAATCTACAATACACTTGATATTGTATTTATGAAAATAATTGATTATTTTTTTACAGCCAATCGCGTGACCACAATGCACGATTTCGGTTACGTCGCTCTGAACATGAAATATGTTAACCCAGAGGACTCAGGTACTTACACTTGCCGTGCAGTGAACGACCTCGGAGAGGCAGTCACATCCGCGACACTCTTCGTTCAGTGTAAGTATAAAGAGACAAAAAGTACGTAGAAAAGTGGAGCTTCAATTTTTTTGGTAGCATCGCTTTCGTAACCTACAGGCGAGCTTTCAATCTGTAGAAAACAGCTGCTTACGAGTAGATTTTTGTATTTTGTGTGCAGCAATTGTCTTCCTTCTTTTGGTGGAATGCCCGTAGAATTTTTATATGTCTATTTTTTTGGTGGATCTTTGTGTTCTTCGCAAAATTCACGAAAACAGTACTAGAATACTTGAATTTCAATTGTCATCGTAAAAGTAAGCTCCACGACAATTTTTTACAACGAATTTAACAAAACGTCGATACATGTTACGAACAAGCACCGTAACCCTAATTTTTCTCGGTACTTTACGCTATTCCATCTTTAATATACTCGGCGATGGATATTTTGATGAATAAATGTTTTCTGAATAATATGTTTTTTTTTTATGTTTAATTATGATACAATGGTACAGTGGTATATGTTGTTACCACTTCTATTCTTTTTATTACTAGAATTTTTATGAAAAATTAATTGATGGAATTGTTACCCCCACTATTATACTGTTACTAAATAATTAAATGGTAAATCAGAGGAAGTTACAAAAAGTATCAGTTCAGTGCACATGCAAATATTAATCAAATTTTTATACACAATTTATTTGTAAACAACTATTAATTTATAACTAAATTTAATATAAATGTTTTTATGAAAGAACATTTTTTAGGTCAATTAAAGGGAACTCTAATAAGCAATACTTTCTTCTTAAAAAAACTGTATAAATGAAAGTTATAGACTGCGGACTTTTATGCAAATTCAGAATTTTATGCATTGACCTTAACTATTTATTTATTATTTATTGAATGAATGAAAATTTAGTTAATCATTTATTTTCTTTATTGAAAGTATTCTGAAGTTAAAGTTAAAGAAATTAAAGACATTAAAGAAATTGAAGAAATTGAAGAAATTGAAGAAATTGAAGAAATTGAAGAAATTGAAGAAATTAAAGAAATTAAAAATATTACAGACATTAAAGACATTAAACACAGTAAAGAAATGAAAGAACGTAAAAAAATTAGAAATTAAAGAAATAAACGAAATAAACGAAATTAAAGAAATAAACGAAATAAAGAAATTATTGAAATTATTGAAATTATTGAAATTAAAGAAATTTTAGAAGAATTAAATTTTTAAGAAATTCACGTTTTTTTTTTAAATTATACGAAATAAAAGAAGTTCGCTGTGTCAAATGTTCCATCGCCATTCACATCACCACCACATACAAACTTACACACTGACAAAGACTCTTCCCCGACACAGCGAAAGCAGCGCTGCAATTCGAGTCGCAGCACGAGAGCGCGTTATCGAAGATCCAGATCCTAGAGGACACCAGCAGATACCAGCGCCGCGAGGAAGAAGAGATCGTCGTGAAGGAGAAACCCCGTTTCACGGTCCAATTGAACGGGCCCACCAGCCTAGTCGAGGGTCAAAGCGCACACTATGAGTGCCGCATCGAACCCTATCCGGACCCGACCATGAAGGTCGAATGGTTCCACAATGGTAAACCGCTCTCCACCGGTCACAGGTACCGAACCACCTGTGACTTTGGGTTCGCGGCGTTGGACGTGTTGACGGTGTACGCCGAGGACTCTGGTACTTACACCTGCCAGGCCACCAATAGACTGGGATCGGCCCAGAGTTCGATCAATCTCGACGTGAAATGTAAGTAGCACCCTGAGAAACGTGCAGCTTCCTTCCGAATACGTCTTGGAAGTTTTAGGGAGGTGTCCTGGTGGGATCTACGTAGAAGTATCTCTCGAATGATCATTTTCGAATATTTTTATCTTAAATATTTAACATTGTGAATGTTTAAGTCTTGAATTATTTTGGTTGAATACATTGTTATATTACGTGGAGAATGTGTTAATATCGTTTTATCTGTTTTTCGTTTAAAAAACCAAACTTGGTATTCATATATCCTGTACACCTTCACGTACAAAGAAATGACTCAGGTGAAATTATATTCCCCTCAACGCCATTGAACTTTTATTTGAAACATTTTTCGGTTTCGAAGATGTTCGAGGGGATCGGTTTTTAAATAATTGATACTTTTACGAGATCCCCCAAAAAATACATCACACCAGAACAGTAGGTGGATGTAATCACGCCTTCTGTGTCACCTAGAAACCCCATATCTCCGCTTTATAGTTCCCACTGCTTCGAAACACAGATCCGCTTCTGTAATGTACACTCAATAGATGGCCACTCTTCTTTTTTTGGTGTTTCACGTTGTTTATGTTGTTTCATATTATCGTAACATTAAAAATTATTCTCAACCCTTCTGTCCTCAAAGTGCATATTCGTGTCGACCAGGCAGAGCCATTTTAACTGATGTTATTTTACAGCTCGCGCTTCCATCATCCGTGAAACTCAACACGAAAGTGCCCTGAAGAAGATACAGTATCTAGAAGACGATTCACGCTACAAACGCGTGGATGAAGAAGAACTGATCATCGCAGAGAAACCGAAATTCGGACGTCCGTTGAAGAACATCGAACACCTGCCTGAAGGCAAGAGCGCCCACCTGGAGGCGACCTTGACACCTGTGAACGATCCTACCATGGTGGTCGAATGGTACAGGGATGGAAGACCTATCCCACAGGGTCACAAATTTAAGACCACTTACGATTTCGGTTACGTCGCTCTGGATATCCTCTACGCTTATCCAGAGGACTCTGGCACCTACATGTGCAAAGCAAGGAACGCTGTCGGTGAAGCAGTTACCACTTGCGTCATCAGCGTCGACTGTGAGTAATTAAAACGTCTCAAAGATACAGGAAAAATTGAACCTTAAGATAGATATTTTTATTATTTTCTACGGACTTCATGTTACAAAACTTTAAACGCTTTTTTAATACTTATGCACTGTTCGGATCAATTTGGCCCAATCTCAGACGTTAATTTTTAATTATATTCTTTATCAGAGAAACTTGTAAACTCATTTGACAATAATCACGAGATATGGAAGTATATTTTTTTAATTCGATTTTAGCTCGCATCAAGGTTAATTCAAGGAATAGTAAGGTGACTTTTTTTTATGATTTTTTTTCATATTGGTACACGCTACAAATCATAAAGTTTAGGTACGAAAGATTTTCTAAATTAATTACGAACTTCTGTCAAACTGTCGACAACTTCAGATCTCGAACGTGTTCTATAACCTTTAGATATGCCCAAATTTATAAGTTGACCAGCAATTAATTCGAAATTCGGTTTCAATATCTTCGGCGAACAAAGTAAAGACTTAACGATACTTATTTTTCTCGAACAGCAAAACAAGGTCTTTATTTGGATACCTTGGACGCTCAGCGTTTGCAAAAGATTCGCGAGTTAGAGACCGTGGAGGTAAAGCAAGAGGTTGAGAAAGAGGTTGTACACCAGAAGCCAGTCTTCCTGACACCGCTCAACAACCTGGATCACCTAAAGGAAGGCGAACACGCTCACTTAGAATGCCGCGTCGAACCTATCAACGATCCAAACTTGAAGATAGAATGGTAATCACTCAGTTTGACTCGAATTTATCGTTAAATTTCATTAATATTAATTAAATCATGGACAACATTTCTAATGTTTCCTAATTTTTTAATTAGGTTCGTAAATGGAGTCGCTGTAAGGACTGGACATCGCTTCCGCAAGACCCACGACTTCGGTTATGTGGCTCTTGACATTCTTTACACATACTCTGAAGATTCTGGCACTTACATGTGCAAAGCTACCAATTTGGCCGGCGAGGCTGTCAACACTTGCACCATCAAAGTTGGCTGTAAGTATATTCCATTCAATTTAAAACCTGAATCATTGATAATTTAGGACAGAAAAAGGTAAATAGTGTAAATACACAAAATTGTATTTTGGAAAATATTGTATATTCGGTCTACCAATGAGTGAATCACTATTCTTTTCTAAATTAACGATATGTTTGAAAAAAAAACTTGAAAAATATTCATCACAACTTTCTAACATTCTACGTTAAATTTAAACGATTAAAAACGTCTAACGATTATTTAACAGTACATTCATAAGTGCTCGAAACAAATTTTAGTCTGTATCATTTTTTATGTAAAAAGCTTTTCTTGGATAGATGAGTAGAAATTCTTTAATTTACGAAATAATATTAATATTAATGTAATTTGTAAAATAATATACTGCATAGTAAAGTAAAGTACTTTACATTGGAAGTACAAGTAAGTAGTTCCCTTGTAATAAGATCGCGAATACGACAAGTTTATATCTCTAAAAACGTTCTTCCTTTTATTTTCAAAATTAATATAAATAATTCTATTAATATGTACCTTCCTTATAATTATCAATCGTAATTTCAAATAATTTTCACTATCATAATAACTATTTAGCAACGTATAAACGTTACCCTCCACCTTCCTTCCGACCTGTGAAACTTCCGGAAAACAAGAACACATACGAACACTGTCACGAGAAAAGAATTTGTTGTCCACCATCGATGCAAAGAGAAAATTTGTCCAGTATGAAACCTAGATTCGGATCGTTCTCGTTGACAACTTGTAAATGGAACAGACAATTTACTGAACCTCGTACAATACAAGATAATTATTGCTATCCGAGGAACCTATGCAAAACAGCAACAGATCGTTGTTCAAAAGCATATCCTAAAACTGAAATCTATCTTGGAGCCAGAAGAAAATCCGAATCAAATTTCCATACTCATAAACACTGCAACGACAGAAGTGAATTAAAAAATACTTGTCAAAGTACAAAATGTCGTTATAACGGTCGTCGTGTTACATTTCGAGGTTTACAAGAAAGACCCTGTCGATTTGAAAAAATCAGAAACTGTAGAGCCAATTAATATTTCTTACAACTGAGTTAAAATGAAGCATCTGGAACAGTAATTTATACATTCCCTCGTTCATTACATAATATTATGTTAATAACAGAATTAAAAATATTTTTAATGTCAAATTTTTCTTTGCAGCTCGTCGCAGTATTCTCCTAGATACGCAGCATCCCGATGGCCTTGAAAAGATCCGCGAGCTCGAAGCTCAAGGGCGTCCAGCCCGTTTGGAAGTCGAAGAACCGCCAGTGACACCGCCACGATTTGTCACTGAACTGAGGGTAAAGATTCCCTAATTTACACTTTCTTCTTTTAACCATTCATCCCTTTCCAGCCAATAAAATAATATCCAATATTACGTTCGATTTATTATTTCACACTAATATTCACATTTCGTATATTTAAACATTTCTCAGGGCACGACCGAAGTATACGAAGGGCAGACAGCTCACTTCGAGTGCCAAGTCGAGCCTCTTCACGACGCCAACCTGAGGATCGAGTTCTTCCACAATGGCAAACCGTTACCATCGGCCTCGCGGTTCCACGTGACCTTCGACTTCGGTTACGTAGCCTTGGACATCGGCCACGCTGTCCCTGAAGATGCCGGCGAATATTCCGTGAAGGCGATCAATGCTCTTGGCCAGTGCGTCTCTTCGATCAAGCTCAGAGTTATCCCAAGGGATAACATCATTTTGGACTCCCAGCGTCCAGAGGGCATGGACAAAATCCGTGAACTCGAATCCCAACAGCCTTGGAAGCGACCGGAAGTACCGGAGCCACAGACCAGACAACGACCTGTCTTCACCCAACCGTTGCAGAATATCGACGCCATACCTGAAGGACAGACCGCTCACTTCGAGTGCAGATTGATCCCTGTTGGAGACCCCACGATGAAGGTCGAGTGGTTCAGAAACGAAATTCCAATTGAAACAAGTAAGTTCGTAATTGAAATTCGAATTTTATGTCTTTGCAAAGAGGTTTTGGAATGGTGTCTGACCATTGTACTGTATTCATACAAAATCTGTACAGTAATAGTAAGACTAGTACATAAATAAAGGAGATTTAAAAAAAAAAATATACAGTATAATAGAGTAGAGACGTGTAGTACAATTGTAATCAATTCATAATCAGGTATTAAGGAAATAAATCACGTCCATCTATAAAACTGATGAAATTTAATACTATCGTAGTGTTTTAATGATCGATTTTGAAGTTTAAATTACTGACTCTATTCAAGAAAGAGACACTAGGTGATCAAGCATTTAGGCTCTCAATACTCGCCTCTAAAAAATCAACGCATTGCCGAATATTGAAGATTCACGTAATTTTTTCGTCATTCAGGCTCAAGAATAACTAAAGTCCACGATTTCGGATACGTGTCATTGGCTATTACCCACATACGTGAAGAAGATGAGGGTGTCTACATGTGCCGGGCAACGAACGCACTCGGCGAAGCAGTTACAACGGCTTCGATGAGGATCAAGAGTAAGTATCGTATTTCGCAATATTTTTTAGAAAAAAATTAGTATTTTCTAATGTCAATAATTGATCGTGTGCAGGTAAGGCCAGTATACAATTGGAGACCCAGCACCCTGAAGCGCAGCGTAAGATCGCCCAACTCGAGGCTGACAAACCAGGTCGACCTGATGAACCGGAGAAGATGTTCGACAAACCCATTTTCACTCAATTATTGACCGGGCCCACGGAACTCTGGGAAGGTCAGATGGCTAGATACGAGTGCAGAGTGGTCCCTGTTGGCGATGCCAGTTTAAGATTCGAGTGGTACATAAACGGAGTCGAGCTGAAAATGGGTAAGGATTCAGGGTCACACAGAGAAACGAGGGATACAGACTATTTAATTTTCATTTATCCGTTATTTTATATATCACGATTCTCGCCACAGGTTCCCGTTTCCACGTGAGTCACGACTTCGGATACGTGACCTTGGACATCCTGAAGGTCATAACGGAAGATTCCGGTGTGTACACGTGTAAAGCGATCAACAAAGCCGGCGAAGCTGTGTCCTCGATTTCGTTGAAGGTAAAAGCACGTTCGGCAATCGATGCCGACAGTCTGCAACCTGACGCCTGGCAGAAGATCCAACTGAAGGAAGCCGAGATGAACAAAGTACCTGAAATGTTCGTCGACACGACACCGCAACAAGCTCCGGTATTCACGAAGCATCTGGAAAGCTACGACAAGCTGGTAGAAGGACAACACGTCTACCTCGAGGCTCAGGTTGAACCAAGAGCCGATCCGAATCTTCGCGTAGAATGGTTCAAGAACGGAATATCTCTTCAAACTGGTACCAGACTTCGTAGTACCTTCGACTTCGGTTTGGTGACTCTATCTATCAATGGACTGAGATCAGATGATTCGGCCATTTACACGTGCAAGGCCACCAATCTCCACGGAGAGGCTTAAAAATCGATGCCCTCGAACAACCGCACGTTTCTTCCGCGGAGCAACCAGAACCGACTTACGAAGAACCAGTCTTCATCACTCATCTGAACAACGTGGAATGCGTCGAAGGCGACAACGTGCACTTCGAGTGCAACGTGGAACCATCGAAAGACCCAACGATGAGGATCGAGTGGTTCATCAATGGAAAGCCCCTACCAACGGGAGCCAGGTTCAAATCAACCTACGATTTCGGTTACGTTGCTCTGGACATCAACCACGCTTACGAGGAGGACTCTGGAGTAGTCATCGTGAAAGCTACAAACTCGAAGGGTTCTGCACAGACATCCGGCACCCTGAAGTGTATTAGCAAACAGAACATCTATTTGCAGACCCAGCATCCTCAAGGAGAAGCTGGCCTGGAGAAAGTCAAGGAAGCGGAAGATGCTTACTTGTCCAAGTACAGGAGACCGGAGGACGGACCTGAACACGAGTATCCTAAACCAATCTGGACGGTCCCTCTACAACCAGAGTTCAAATTGGGCGAGTCTGAACCTCTTCATCTGGAAGGCCAGGTGGAACCAAAGGAGGATCCAAATCTGAAGATCGAATGGTACTTCAATGGCAAAGCCTTGGAGCATGGGGCTCGTTTCAAGATGACCAGCGATTTCGGCTTCGTCACCTTGGACCTGACGGACGTCTACGATCGTGATTCTGGAATTTACACCTGTAAAGCGTACAACAAGGCTGGCGAGGCGTTCACTTCGACAACTGTCTACTGTTCGACCAAAGAGAACGTCATCGAGAGGTCGCAGCATCCTAAGGGCAAAGAGGGTCTGGAGGCCATCCAGGACCTCGAAGAATCCCTGAAGAAACAGGAAGGTGGACCACCCGAGAGCGAGGAAGGACATCCACCTGTCTTCACGTCTCAATTCGAAAATCTGACGAATCTCTCCGAGGGTGAAATAGCCCACTTCGAAGCTTCCTTGACTCCAACTGGCGACCAGACTATGGTCGTCGAATGGTTCTACAATGGAAAATCATTGGAAGCCAGTCATCGAACGAGAACCGTCTATGCTTTCGGTATGGTCGTCCTCGAAGTTCTTGGAACGAAGATCGAAGACTCTGGCACTTACTCCTGCAGAGCTACTAACAAATGGGGCCGTGCTGAAATCAGCGTGCAACTGGAATGCGTCGACAAGTCTAAGGGACAGAAACCTAAGTTCACCACTCAGATTCAATCTCTCGAGGGTCTCAAGGACGGCCAATCGGCGCACTTCGAGTGTACCCTTATTCCTGTTGGAGATCCTCATATGAAGGTAGAATGGTTCCACAATGGACAGCCGTTGAGACACTCTTCCCGATTCAAAATGGTGTCAGACTTTGGCTTCGTGGTAATGGACATCGCCGGGGTGATGGCACACGATGACTCACTTCAACCGGATTCCCTTGCCAGAATCCGCGAACTAGAAAGCTTTGGCGGCGAACAACCCGCCACTCCAACCACACCTGTCGCTGAACCACCGAAGTTCATTACCCAAATTTCTGACATCACGAAACTGGTCGAGGGACAGTCTGCTCACTTCGAGGCCAGGCTTACTCCCGTGGCTGACCCAGACTTGAAGGTCGAATGGTATTACAATGGCAAGAAACTTCCTCATGGACATCGGTACAGGACCTTCCACGATTTTGGTATAGTGATCCTGGATCTCCTCTATTGCTACGAAGAGAACTCTGGAGTCTACGAATGCAGGGCTTTTAATAAATACGGTGAAGACAGTACCAAGGCTACGTTGAAGTGCTTCTCGAAAGCTAGTCTGATTTTGGAGTCACAGCTTCCTAAAGGAATGGAGGGCGGTTTGGAGAAGATTCAGACTTTGGAAGATTCGATGATTCGAACGAAAGACGAGAAGGTCGTCGAAGAGCGTGGAAAGGCTCCGATGTTCACTGTACCGCTAAGTAACATCGATGGCCTTCGTGAAGGCGAAAGCGCGCACTTTGAAGCTAGACTTACACCTACTGACGATCCAAAACTAAAGGTAATACCGTGTTGCTTGTTAACTGTTGTGATTCTTTACTATGTTCTTAGAAAATTAAATTCTGATACTTGCCTTCTATTTATCAAAGACTTCGATACTTCAAGGTTTTGATTAATTCGACTTAAAATTCACTACTAACATTTACAATCTGAATTACAAAGTTAGTCGTAGAAACGTATCTTTTTTTATTCTAACAATTCAACAGTGTGATGAGCTAATAGAGCTTCATGATTTATCGTGAATTATCATTCATCGCAAAAAAGTAAGTTTGGTAAAAAATATTTCCCAATATACTATTCCTAACCTATCCTAACTTCAAGTTAATCTCCAGCAACAAATAAAAATTTAACAATCATCATTCACAAAGATGATACGATTCCACTTGCTTGCAGGTCGAATGGTTCTGGAATGGGAAACCATTGCGTACCGGCTCTCGTTTCCGCACCTTCTGTGACTTCGGATTCGTGATCCTCGAGATCTCGCCGATCTATCCAGAGGACTCTGGGGAGTACAGTTGCCGAGCGTCGAACGAGTACGGCGAGGCGGTGACCACTTGCTCGATGAAATGCACAGGCAAGCGCAGTATAATCCTGGAATCCCAATTGCCAAAGGGAATGGAGAGCACGATCGATAAGATCGCCGAGCTAGAAGGTCTTGGAAACGAGCCTAGCGCAGCTACCCCTGAAGACGACACGGGCAAACCACCAGAGTTCATCACTACACCGTCTGATCTGACACTGGCGGAGAACTCTCTGGCGCACTTCGAGTGCAGACTGACACCCATCAACGACTCCAGCATGAGGGTAGAGTGGTTCCATAATGGAAAGCCTCTTCTGGCCGGCAGTAGGATCAAGACGATCCACGACTTTGGTTTCGTAATCCTGGAGGTCGCCAACTGCTACCAACGCGACTCAGGACTATATACTTGCAAAGCAACGAACCGTCACGGTGAGGCCACTGTTTCCTGCAAGCTGCAGGTCCGTGGCCGCCAAGGAATCATCCTGGAACCCCAATTGCCTTCTAACTTTAAGACCGGAACAGAGAGTATTCAGAAGCTGGAGGAGGCTCTGTACAAGAGGGACGAAATACTGACCGAAGAAGAGACACCTAATCCTCCTAGATTCACCGTTGAACTGAAGGATATTGAAGTGGAAGAAGGAGCTGCCAGCCACTTTGACTGCAGAGTCGAACCAGTCGGCGATTCCACGATGCGCATCGACTGGTTCCATAATGGACGATCGTTCGCCACGGGATCCAGAGTACACCAGATCAATGATTTTGGATTTATATCTTTGGACATGTCGTACACCTATGCCAGGGACAGCGGCGAGTATGTTTGTAGGGCGACCAATAAATGGGGCTCTGCTACTACTAAGGCTACCATCACTTGCAAATGTAAGTACTCGTTAAAAAAGTTTAAAATATTAGAGATTTCTGGGACCATTGAGACTGAGGGCGTTAGACTCTTTTATAAGTGGAGCTTAATTGGAAAAAATTAATCTAATGTTACGTTACTGTGACTATGACATAGAAAACTGTAATTAGTGACAAGTGATTTTTTAATTATTTACCATAGAATACGAATTTTTACAATTAGAACGATTAATTCATCACAAGAATTGCACTTCTGTATATGTTAATGTTCAGTGACAATACTTTTGTCTATACGCCATTGTTTGGAGAACTATTGATTTAGAAATAAACATAATCGACAACGTTATTGGTATTATAGACCATTAAATCAAAATTAGAATCCAAAAATTTTATTTATAATTATTATCACCTTAACTTTAGTGCCTTTTAAACACTTATGGAATAGAAACCATAACTTTTGACAGATCTAGTATAGAAGAACACTAGAATACTTGCGTAAGTGGGAATTTCTGAAATCCCAAACTCCCACACAATGTAAATGTCACAATAGCAGTGATTTTGATCTTGAAAAATTATTATTTTATTCCTGAAAAAATGTCTTTATTCCTAAAATGTTATTTTGTTCCTAAAAAATTATTTTATTCTTCAAAAACTATTTCAAATCTTGTATTTTTCAATAAATAATTCAAACAAATATTTCCAACACTTCAGCCAAGAAAACGATAGACTTCGAATCTCAGCTACCGTCCGGCATGAGCGGTGAGAAACTGAAAGAACTGGAACGTGGACCTGTCAGTGAGCCACCCCCCGAAGATGCGGTACCACGTCAACCACCGAAATTCATCACGCAGATTCAATCAGCGACCGTCGACGAATCCGAACCGGTCAGGTTCGAGTGTCGTGTGGAGCCGAAGGACGATCCAAACCTGCGTATCGAGTGGTACCGAAACGGAAAAATGATCCCAGCTGGACACAGATATAGAACCACGTACGACATGGGATTCGTGGCAATGGACATCCTCTATGTCTACCCTGAAGACTCGGGAGAATACGTCTGCAAGGCCATCAATGACTTGGGAGAGGACACTACCAAGGCATCAGTTTCATGCAAACGTAAATTATAGACTTTTTAAATATTAATTATGTGCAAAATAACTGTACAAGGTGTATCAAAAAGATTGGGCAAATCTTTGGGTATGAGCTCTATCTGTAATAACAAGAAACAGGATTTATATAAATATATGTACAGAAACGAGTACCGAGGACAGAAAGATCAATTGAAAGTAGATGTTCGAAGTGTCCTGTATGAGATTCAGTGTGTATATTGTTTATATTATATTATGATGACAGTATCCCTATAAATCAAAATCCAATAAATTCAAAGCGGATTAACGGGCCCACCTGTTAAAAATAATTATTTGTTACACAGGCAACTTGTACCGAAATTTCTGACCAAACTTTCTTTCTGCCAACTGCAGTAGTATTATAACTATTTAAACTGAACAATAGTTACGAAAATCAATTAATTGCAAAGTCTTGAAAAACGAAAACAGATATTTTACGACTCAAGGTAATAATTTTCATTTATTCTTCAAATTATTTTACAGGCTTGCCCAGTATCATCCTCCAGAACCAAGTGCCAAAAGGTATGAAGAAGTCGGAAGCGCTGATGCAAATGGAAGCGACCATCAAGAAATACACGTCCGAGGTCCATTTGACCGAGGACGACCTCTACGACGCGGACAAGAAACAACCACCTCGTTTCGTCACCCAGATCCAGGATCAGACCGAGCTCGTCGAGATGAACAACACGAAGTTCGAGTGTCAATTGGCCCCAGTCGGTGATCCGAACATGAAGGTCGAATGGTTCTTCAACGGCAAACCCCTGCCCCACAAGAACCGTTTCACGCCCATCTACGATTTCGGTTACGTCGCGATGAACTTTGGATGGGTGTACCCCGAAGACAGCGGGGAGTATCTTTGCAGGGCGACGAACCTTTATGGTATGGACGAGACACGAGCAGTGATTCGTACAGCTGGAAAACCAGGAATCATTTACGAGTCACAGCTGCCTAAGGGTATGAAGAGTATCGAGAAGATCAGGGAGATGGAAGCTGCATGGCAAATGTAAGAATTTAAATTATAAATTTTTGTTATGCCTTGATCGTGATGTACCGGAACAATTAGGGGATTGATATCTGGAGGGGGATCTATTGCGCCAGTATTTCTAAGGTATTTTCTCATGCACATTGGATGTCTATTTATTACAGAGTACCTGAGGAAGAAGGTGAAGAGGAGAAGGTACGAGCACCACCAACCTTCGTCAGTAAACCGGAACCCGTTACCGTCGAGGAAGGCGATTGTTCTAGATTCTGCTGCCGAGTCACTGGTCATCCCAGACCACGCGTTATGTGGATTATCAATGGACATACTGTAGTTAACGTAAGTTTCAGTTATTATTGTTATTATTAATGTCCGATACTTACGAAATAATTTATAAGATTTTAGATTGTTTTGTACAGCAAGTATACCGTAAATGTATAAACCACGTAATTTAATTACTAGACAGTGGATGTTTATGCAAATATAAGACTTTATGGATAATTTTTTCGAAACTTGAATGCAAAGAAAAATTTATCTATTATATTTATTATTTTATTTTCTGAAACTTTTCGCTATATTGAATTTTCGGTGATCGGATATTTCATAAATAAATCAGCAGTCTATTAATTACATACACAGTTTCATAACGCAGACGTTTTTCTTTTATACTTTTACACGAACAAAGTGTTTCTGGTTTACTCAGGGATCACGTTACAAGCTCACCTACGACGGCATGTATCACTTGGACATCCCGAAAACGCGTCAGTACGACCATGGAAAAGTCGAGGTAATCGCTAGGAGCTCGGTCGGTGAATCCCGCACCGAGACAACGCTGACAGTGAAACCACGAAGCGACGATTATCGCGGTGTATTGAAGAACTCACCAAGACGTAAGTGTATCCAGAAACAGGGACTCCCTTACAGAAACGTGTCGTTGCATTCTTTGTGTTCCACAATCATGGAAAACATTTCATATAAAAATATCCTCTAAATTGTTCAAACTTCTACACCTGAGTAGAACCAAAAACACTGAATATAAAAAATTCCATAATAATCAGCGTCGAGCGACGTGAAATTAGCGTTTTCTTATCCACAAAGAATGCAAGCACATACAGAGAACAAATAAAAATCCGCCAATATCGAACAACGGCACAATAATACCACACGAGAGAAAGAAAATCGAGAAGGAATGATAAACCTGGTTGTTTGATTTCAAGTGCGATCGTCCAGGTAAATGACTACGATCGCCACAACCGGTAACACAGTACATAAAATATCGATACGACACATACATTCTATTCGAGTACAGAAAACACTCGAGACCATTATTCGAACACCAACCGATTCCCCTGTCCTCCTCCTTCTCCAATATTACGAAGGAATTCGAAAGATAGACCTCATCCCCGAGCACCTCGACCGGCTTCTTCTTCTTCTTCGGGGTTACGGGAATTCGACGGGCATATTCGAGCAAAATGTGACAGGTATCGGCTACTTGGTTTCGCAAACCGGCATTCAGGTATGGAACAAAACCATCGAGAAAGCACACACACGTTCTTAGACTGTCTGTTTCATCATTGTTTTTTTTTTGTCGTTTTTGTTTTCCGAATGTGACTCGACCGGCACGAAGACAAATATTTTCGACGTCGAATCAACAAAATTACCTAAAAAAAAAACATGTAACGAAAATCGTCGATAAAATATTTACCTCCGTGCCGTTCGATCCTTTTTGCACTGGAGAAAACGGGGTTTGTTGCTCGTTGATACATTATTCTTAATATTTTTTTCTCTCTTTCAGAAACAATTTCATTCCGTTTGCTTTTCAGTCGCACATCAAAATTTTATTTAATGTATTCTTTCTTCATCCTTTCATCGATCGCGTTGATTCAGCGACATTGGTAAAAAAAAAAAAAGAAACCAGCGGGGTTAATTGACGTGATAATTGACATCGATCTGATCCGTTCGCCGTAATTAGCAGAGTCCGTATTTCTCAGAGTGCTGTCTATGTCGTGTTAGTATCACCGTCAAAACACACCTAATCCTGCGTCGGTGCGACGAATTTTTGTTATTTTACAGAATTTATGTTCCTCGTTGACCCACCGTCTTCCCTTCGTGTAACAGAGACCCGGTTTCGTGGGATATTAATCATGTACCCCATTTTCTTTCTTCTTACAAATTAAATTCTTAATTATGAACAATACTGGATCTCTGAACACGCGATCGTGAACCCTTGAAATGTTGGAAACTACGTTCTCTATAATTGGCGTGGTACTTTAGAATTGTTACTGTTGGAATGATTTTAAGAAATTAATGAAATCGTGTTAACCACGTGCTCTAACTTCAACCGTCCGGATGCCCATCTCCGTCTCCGTAGTATGGTTTCCGGGCACCCAATACCCCACGCGCTGGAGACGTCGATATGTGTTGCATCGCCAATGAAGTACTGTGTCGTATTTTCCTTGTGGTACTAGAGAAATTTCTTGTCGTGAGAGTGTACCGTTCCAGTGACGTCGATGCCATATTAATATTCTAAAATCAAGTATTTCTTAAATCATATTAATATCTAAATAAGTTGGACCCAATGAAAGTTTTGTATTTTATTATATTTCACACAGCCCTATTAAATGCATAAAATCCGAAGTCTAGATATGAACTTTACTGTATTTCTACATACCGGTTACCCAACAAACATAAGAAAATTCCATTTTCTTAAAAAATAGTCTTCTCCAAAAAAGGACTAATTTTTTCCTACTTGCGATTAAATACAGAAAGAAATCACACCATCTGCTTTCGATTGCTGCAACGTCAATTATAATCAGTCGATTAAAAAAAAAAAATGGTAACTAGCATCTAGCATCGTGGAACGTTACATTTTCACCGTGGATTGAACGTTTGCGAACCGAAGCGGTTCATATTCGTCTGGCATGCGTTGTCGTTCGCGCGGGAACGTAAGAACGGAACGGTCTAACGTGGATTTTCCCCAGCGTGGTATGATTACGGGCTGACCCAATACCAAACGGAGCGACAGAACACCGAGCTCGAGAAAGTGTTCGACGAGAGACACCACAACGTCTCCCAGGGTATCGAGATCGCTACCGAACACCTTGGGCAGAAGATCATCAAGGAACCGGAAACCGACTGGCAGAGGTCCGTCAAGAGCAAGAAGAACGAGGACTACTACAGCAAGCTGATGAACCTCGAAGAGGAACAGGTGCTGAAGGAGAGCCGACTGAGGGAGACCAGCCACCAATTCGCCATTCCTGGTGAGAAGGTGGTGGCGAATTCTATGGCGAAGGGAATGGCCCAGAAATACGAGGAAACTTTGTGAGTATTTTATTTTATCACATCATTGTTACTTTCCTTTTTTTTCATCGCCAGATTTTTCGATTTCCGGGCGATTACTTTGTTCAATTAAATTACCCAGATCATTGTCGATTCTTTTTCTAATAATAATGTTCACGAAGTGATATACGCTGATTTTTCTTTTTACGTTCGTAACTACAGTGTTCAAAATTGAATAACATCAGAACCAAACGACTTAACTGGCTTGTTACGTTCCAGAGACGACAAGAAGGAAGAGATCACTCAAGAGACGGTGCAAACTGCCCCGAAGTACGTGAAGAAACAACACACCACGGAAGTGGATATCGACGTGGAACGGGCAAAGGCATCGGGAAAGTATCCTCCTGGTCCATCGGAGTCCACGGTGCACGGTCGCGAGGTCCACGTGGCCAAGCAGAAGCAGACCCAAAAAGAGATCAAGGGCGATCTAGAGATCACCAGAAAGATAACGGCCACGGAAACCACCGAGATGGAGCACAAGGCGAAGACTCAAGAGCGTGTTGTCCAAGGTCAGGTGAAGCCGGCTAAACCACCTGTCTTCACGAAGAAGATACAACCTTGCAGAGCGTTCGAGCAAGAACAAGCACGATTCGAGGTCGAATTCGACGGCGATCCATTGCCGACCATCAAATGGTACCGCGAAGATTTCCCGATCCAGAACTCGCCTGACCTTCAGATCTACACGTTCAGCACGAAATCCGTGTTGATCGTTCGGCAAGTGTTCATGGAGGATTCGGGTGTTTTCTCCGTGATCGCTGAGAATCGGGGAGGCAAAGCGAAATGCAGCGCGAACTTAGTTGTCGAAGAGCGCAGAAGGCAACCTGGCAGAGGTGGAGTGGTACCACCCAGCTTCCTATCGACCATTCAGAGCACATCGGTGACCACTGGACAACTGGCTAGATTTGACGCTAAAGTGACTGGAACCAAGCCTCTGGACGTTTATTGGTTAAAGGTGACGTTTATTTTCTTGTCCATTACAAGGGAAGGCACGAAAGTGTCTCCCCACGATTTTTATGAAACTTCGTATGTATGTTAAGCAGTCAAAAATAAGGGACACGTATTTCTTTTGATCGGCGGAGACCCGACTTTAAAGGGTGAAACCACTCCTTCATAGATACTCTTAGATTCTCAATTTGATCAGAGACCGTACTAATCACAAGTATTTATACATTTTTCTTTACTTATTCATTTACAACAGCGGGTCCCAACTTGGAGTACCTGCTTGGTGCTTTAAGAGTTTTAAAAAATTAAAATAACAGCAACTATATAAATTACAACAATGTTTCTAATATTAGGAGAGAAATTTCACAATAATCTGCAATTTTTAATGAAATTAATTATTATTTTGATGTTTTTGTATGGTTACAGAACGGCAAGAAAGTGACAGCAGACATTCGTTACAAGACGCTCGAAGAGGACAATACATTCACCTTGTTGATCCTAGAAACGGTGCCGGAGGACTCTGGGAAATACGAGTGCGTCGCGATAAACAGCGCCGGAGAGGCTCGTTGTGACGGCGAGTGCACAATACGAGGACCTCAGTCACCCACGAAAACGGCGAAGCCGACGACACCAGGCGTCGAGAAAGCGCCCGCGGTTCTCGAGCCGTTGAAAGATCAAACGATTAGAGAGGGAACTTCCGTCGCTTTCGCTTGCAGAATCTCTGGAAAGCCGGTGCCAACGGTGCAATGGAAAAAGGGCGACAAGGTACGAAGAAAATAAAAATTAAACAGAATTTTTTTCAACTTTTTTACCTTTTCTTCGCCGACGCGTATAAATATTGTTTATTTAAGTTCCTGATGATGAAGTTAGTAGAATTAATGCGATTTTGAATAATGTACAATTTTTTGTGAATTTATTCATTGTTACAGGTAATCAAGCCGTCCAAGTACTTCCAAATGCAGAAGGAAGGTGAGCTCTGTACCTTGAGGATCTCCGAGGCCTTCCCTGAAGACGAGGGTGTTTACAAGTGCATCGCCAAAAACCCAGCTGGCGATGTTACCACATCAGCTAATCTCAGAGTTCTTGGTAAGAATTACTGTGAATTAATTAATCCACAGGTTGAGTTTAGAAGGGTGTGAAACTATTTACAAGCATACAACTAAACTTGCAATAAATGCATTTGAAACAGATTTAAATATTTTTCGTTTAGTTTCAATTTTTCGAAAGCATTAGCAAAACAAATATATGACACCCTTTACATTCACTAACTGTCTCAAATTTACATCGAATAACCAAAATTCGAATATTTTCAACTAGCTCCCGACGCAGCTGATGCCCAACCGAAACTCACGCCACTGAAGGATCAAATAGTTCTGGAAGGACAACCGGCTCAGTTCAAGACTCAAGTTACTCCAGCGAAACCAAAGCCAACGATCCAATGGTATCGCGAAGGTGCCCTGATCCCGCAATCACCTGACTTCCAGGTGAGTTAAACTTGACCTTTCTACTGCAGAAAGGAAAAATCATTTGATCTGATGACCAGGTACTATTTTCCAAGTGTGGATAAAATTTATTTGACGTACAAGTTACTTGTCGATTTCCTTTTTCTGTAAAAAATACCGACGAAACGTACGAATAAGCACAAAGTCCATTTTCATTAAGCTCAATCAAACTTGTAAAAAAATTACACTACTTTGACTGGCAAATTTTATAGTATCTACTCAATTAAATAGACTTTGTTCTATCAAGTGATTATTCCTTCAAATCGCTGGAACATTCTGTATCAAGAAGGAATTTTCAAAACTAAATCGATCTAGAAGCAGATTTAAGTGCCTTTTTTAGCTAAAAGAATCGAAGTTGTATATAACTGGTAGAATTAAATTAATTGAAAAATAGATATAGATTGTAACTCCTTCTCCCACATCGTTATAAATCATCAATGGCTATTTCAGACCCTGTAAACCGCATACGTAACACTGTCAACTCTTATTGTACTTGGCTAGATTTTTTTGGCATAGCATAGCTTCAGAAATTCGGCTCATAAAATTTTGTAAAATATATGCGTTTTATATTACTATTTCAGCATTGATACCATTGTACACTAATGGGGACTTATCCTCATTTATCCGTATCATTCGTATTAATAAAGATGATATTAAATAATAAATAACAAATAATTCTGCTGTTGAGGACCTTAGGAACTTTCCATCCAGCCAATTATTTTGAGTCGAATTCCTTCTGGTATTGATTTAATTAATAGAGAATTATATATCGAACAAGTTATTCATTATTGAAAAAAATTCTTGAATTCCAGATGATACACGAGGGCAACAACGCTGTCCTCCTGATAGCAACAACCTACGAAGAGGACACTGGCACCTTCACCTGTCGGGCCACCACCTCGGCCGGCACTGTAGAAACCTCCGCCAAACTCATCGTCAAAAGTAAGAATTGAATAAAAGATACAAGTTCAATTGCTAACCCGAAGCGCGATTGAATCGACGGGATAAGCCTCTAGGGACTGGCGGAGAAACGTGTACACGCTTGAGACAATTTTTCATAGAACAAGGAAAAAACAATAAAGAAATTCTACCCCAAAATAGAAAACAACTCGAACACTTAAGTAAAAAAATAACTGCCTTTCAAAATTCAGTATTCCATGATATTATATCAAAGGAAATATTAAACGTATAATTTAAAATAGAAACAAAGCAATTGAAAGAAAGAATTTAATAAGCAATTGTCTCGATCTTACGCATTTCTCCGTCGACCGTGCTCCATCGAGGACGCCCGTCCGTACCTTCACTTTTTTTCCGCTTTCTTTGTTGTTTTCTCTAAAAAAAAAAAGAAACCCCTAACCAAGCGAGACCCGTTACCATTTTTCTACCCTGTATCCCGTTGAACCTCCCCCCACCCACCCCCGTAATACAAAGTCTCGATCGAGCCCGGGGAGTTTGTACTAACTCGTCGTATTTTCAAAGTAGACGAGCGAGTGAAACGAGACGTAGAGTGACCTCTCTGTAGAGGAAAAGAGTATATAACAAGATCACGTAGGGAATTAAGAGAGCGTGAACAGAACAATTGTCGCGAAAGGTGGTGCTGAAACACATAGACGAAAAATAAAAAAACGGTCGAGAGAGAGAGAGAGAGAGAGAGAGAGAGAGAGAGAGAGAGAACGTACATATCGCGGACACAACGAGAAACGAAACGAATCGAAGCGTTTGCTCGTAATTTTTCCCTCGAATTTCCGATCGGGAAAGACAAACGTGTGGACGAGCATAGATTTTTCCATCGAACAGCGAGCGAGACGCGTCTCCGCGGCGTCTTCCCACGTCGAAATTCGGAATTCGAGGTTCGAGTTATCGAAGGTGGTGCTTCGAGTCGACGAGACATGTTTTTTTTTTTTTATAACGATTTTTTTACGATCCCTCTGGTTCCGTGTTGTATATATGTGTCCGATCGACCGTAAGAGGAATTCGATCGAGATCGACGGAGACCGTTCCGTCTCACCGTGAGAGTAAGAAAGAGAGAGAAAATCGCGAAAGGGATAGGGGAGAAAAAAGCGGCGAGGGATGGAAACGATGTTATATAAGTGTATACAATTACCCTGACGCCGCATTACATAACACCGGCTAATTAAATATACAAATTAGCCGGCGAACAAAATTTATAGTTACACACACGTGAACACACGCAAGAATCCTTCTTAACGTTCTACTAATCGATTATTTATTATTGTACAATGGAAAGGCAAATAAAAACGATTGTTTTAAGTACGTACAAAGCCTGGTTTGTTGCCGATTCGATGGTCTAACACGACACATTGGGGGTAGTTTCTAAGGATTAAAACGTCCCCAGGACTCTCTCTTTGATCAGTATGAAATGGCATCTCGGAATTCAAGAATGGGATAAAATATTATTGTGAAATTGATCTCTGCTATTTAGAATTACATGAAACACAGCACGAATTAACACATAGAGAAACACGCAGATTAGTAACAATTTTCTTGCACATTTCAGAAACCTAAGAATATTTCTCAGCAGACAAGATTAAAATTAAGTCGAAAATGCGTGTGAAGGCTTTCCAGAAACGAAACCGTGGTTAGATCGAAATCGACCTGAAGACCGTAGCACAGTAGAATACCTGGACTCCAGAGCCAAACTGAATCAAATCCACTTTTCTTAAAAAATTACATTTTATATGTTTCCTGTATCCAATTGTTCACCCTTTCCGATGGCAAAAATTATTTCGTTCCAAGTCGTTTAGTTCTTAACATAATACTCGAAGAATGATATTAAGTCCATATCTAATTCCAAACCAAACAATGTAAACTCCATCACATAGGGGACTTAATGCAATGTTCATCATTTCTACACACAAACTCCACTCGATTATTGTCCCGAAAACGGGTCCGCGCCGGGACAATAATCGTATAGGGAGAATTGCTTCGTAATTTCATTTTTTGCCCGAAGCCTCGGCAACAAAAGAAGAGGGCCAACACAGTATGCGCTCGATAACGTCTGGACAATAATCGTGTAGAACAAGCCAGACGATAATCGAGAGGAGTCTGGCTCTGGGGTCCAAGTATGTAATCTGAGAAAAAGGAAACTACGCAGAAAACGAAATGAATGTGGAAAACCTAAAGAGCATACGAAACTCGATCCTGTCGAGTGCAAAAGCTGAAAATTTCGCAATTCCATAAACTCTCCAGGTTTCTCAGGTTCTCGGAAACCGCGCGCCATGTTGGCCGCTGGCGAGTGGCGGGAATTACAAACAACAAGTAACGTCGTTCGTTACGTTTCGAGCGTCGTAAATTCGCCGTTAGCTTGCGAAACGCACACGGAATCGAATCGGAACGCGTCTTCGTGACTCATTCTCGCGCCTCGTAAAACAATTCGCGACGCTCCTCACCCCGAAAATAATTGTAAAATGCGGGGGATCTGTTCGGCGGGGAAGGGGGAGGCCAGAAATAGAGGCGGGCTTCTTAATCAGCGTTACGATGGATCAAACAATAAAACGTCCAACTAGACAGGGAACGAACGGTGGCCGCTGCAACACTTGGCAGATTTATCGCGGCTAAAATAACAGAGAACCGCGAAGAAACCTCGTGGAGATCGCCTCTCAAGCTCGGAAGTCGAGTGCAGCCATGACTATTTTTGACCCTGGATATTATGATCTTTCGGTAAAGGATACAATGCGACGCGTGACGTTATTAACCCCTTCACTGCGGCGTAGTTTGATCGAGAAAACGACCGTGCAAATCGGATGGAAGTAAAATTGTCGGAAGTTCACATATGCAGTGGAAGACGAAAAAGTAACCATTTTTCTGATTCTTTATATTTGTGTTATCTTTTAGCATCAACTTCGAACAGAGTATATATTAAACACTTACTAAAGTTTTAAGTTGATGTTAAAAAATAATAAAAATAAAAAAAGTAAAAAAAGTGGTAACTTGTTTTTCTGTATTTAGTGCATGAAAAAGTAATGACTGGTGTATTTTAGTTGGTATTGTGATTTTATCGACGAGGAATTCAACTTTTGCCAGAAGTGTGGTAAGAAGTTGGAGGAAATGGGGCCATTATTTCTGCATTCGTGTAATAATAGTTGCCAGTGTAATTATTACGTTGAATCATAAATAATTAGTATTTTTCTTTTTTTAAATTCACATCCCTCTAAAACACGTTACAGTTAATATTGATCTATTACGCGTACTAAATCATTAGTAAACAAAGTAATTAATTACGTTAACAACGACAATGATTTATGATTCTGTAGCACTAAAATTTGAAGAAATTCAAAAAGTCTAGTTAATCACTTTGGCCAGAGAACGACACGTATACCATGTATGGCTTATCTAAATGTCAGGCTAAAGTGTGGTATTGTTCACAATCTATTACACATACATTCAATTGCCATCGTTTGTAGTAGTCAGAATAATATTTCGCAACGACCTATTAGGCATCGATTATAAATTACAGTCGTCGTCGGTAGCGAAAGGTTTAAGGGAAACGATCATAATTCACCTCGAAGACGGGAGTAGAAGAGCTCGGCCCCTTCATCCTTGTTGACGTATAGTTGACCTACAGTTTCGTGCGCACGCGTGTACACACGCCAGTTGCGTGTGTACACTATACACGCCAGCGCTTTAACGACCCGCCCGTTTCAGTTCCGAGTATCACCTTTCTCCCGGTAACTGGTTTAACGAGCGTGAAGAGGTAAACGTATTTTCTTCCATCGCTTCTGGTACCCCGGCTACGTTTCAAAACGAGGAACGACGGACGCAGTGCCGTGTGCACGCGCGGCTAGGCCCTCTTCTTAGGCTATTTCTGACCACGTGACGTGTATTACATTACCCGGCTATATTTGGTACCACGCCGTTTCAGAACTCCCCGAAGACTCGGTAAATTCACGTGGGGTCTCTCGGTGTGTTTGGCCGTTCGGTCCGCGCTCCTACGAGGACTTTCACGGTTTTATTCCCAGCTGGCGTAAATAAGACCCGCCCGTAAATACGTGCCCGCGGACGGTGCTCCGCTCGTGGAAATCCCGCCACCATAACGCGTCGAAGAATCCGATTCGCTGATGGGTTGTTTACGGGGACTGGCCTGGGTCTGCGTAACGCCAGGGGAATAGGCGGATAAGGGAGAGAAGAGGGCGTGCAGAGTATTTCTTTCGCGTTGATTGCTTTGCAGAATCCTTGGGTGCGCTATTTGTGTCCCTGGGTGGGAAAGTTTATCGTGGAGTTGGTCGTTTTAAAGATAGACAGACGTTTTTTGTTACTCGCTGAAAATAGGGTAAAACAATGTGAAAACTAGTACGAAGCTTGCTGCTAAAACCCCTATGTTTAGAAAATAGGATGGAGGATTAAGAAGACTAGTACGAACTTTACTACTAAACCCCTATTTCTAGAAAATGGGGTAGAGAATCATTTTAGAATAGTCTAGTACATAAGAAGATAAAATTTCCTTGAAGTTAGTCCCCTCACTCTAGACAATGCAGTAAAATGAGAGATTGTTTTTAAGTTGCGTTCTAGGTGGATGCAATTCTTTATAATTAGTCTACCTACTTCTAAGAATTGGGGTAGAAGATTTCCTTACGAAAGGTTACTCTAAAGTTAGACTGCAATTCATTGCTAAGCGGTTCCCTGATCTCAAACATTGGGACAAATGATTAGTTTAGAACTGGCCACTGTAAATCTGGCTTAGTTTTCTCGGTTAAGCTTGTATCAAAGTTACTGCGTTTAAAAAACAGAGTGGAAGTTTACGTTAGACAAGTTTATTATCATGATAGGTTCCTATCCTCTTTAAGTGGGCTGCTTAGTTTTAAAAATAAGGGTAAATGATGACGTTATATTGGGTTATTTTTACGGTATACCCCCCTTTTATTCTTCACTCTTTTCTGCTCGCATTTTCTATAAAACTGTGCTCACCAGATCGCAAGACTAATTTAAATCAGCTCATCTTAATCTCTTTATAAGCACTACATTATATTCATCATATCCATTTAAATTTAATGGATTTTAAAATATCCAGTACAATCACGCAAAGAATTTGTAATCATAGTATTCTGCATTCATCGCATCTGAAACTATTTACAGACAATAGATCCCTTACAATAAATTAAACAGAATCTTATTTCTACCACCAGTGGTTTCACATAATACAAACAAAATAAAACTTCATTTATACCGTTGAAACATTTTACTTTATTCTATTCTAGAAATACACTTACATTAACGTAACAGTACACAGATTTACCTGAAAAAAAGTCAGCTCACGCAGTCTTATTTATACGCGCAGTAATTTACGCACTGACCGGAAACCATCTTCCACCCTATCTCGCCGAAAGACCCCGTCCTAAGGTACTTTACCCCGAACCCACGCTACAATTATCCATTCCCCGCGAAGCAAGAAGTAGACCAAAAAGTCCATCATCGCGCAAACAGCGGCGTGACGGGCGCAAGAAGCACTCACGTTTCGCAAGCGTAACGGCGGCGTTCTCCAGTTGTCCGCGTTCTCCACGTTCTTCAACTGCAGGGCGTTTGCCATCCTTCCTCGCCACTCGACCGGCCGTCACCATACCGTTACAATCCCGTGACCCACCGTGAAAATTAGACCATGAATCCTGCCTATTAATCTCGATCATCCGACCGATTAATTACAATGTGGGGTAAACACGAACGAGCCCACACAATAGGGAACGATCGAAACTCCCGCTCATAAGTATTAGAACACTTATCAAATATGCAGAAAATGTTACAGAGCATTACGAAATTTCTGAAAGTCTGAAATAAATATTGTTCAGGAGAATAATTCTATGAAACATCACATATTCTTCATACAGACCAAGTGTCCCAATATTTATGAGTAGACTGCGGATTTTATGTATTTATAGCGTATAGGGCTCTGTGAAATACGATAAAAGACAAAACTTTCGTCGAATCCAACGAGATTTCTATTTTATTCTGAAGCCAATAAGATACTTAAGATGGAAAAATAAATTTCCACATTTGCTCCTGTCTTTATAAATTACCTTCGAAAATGTTATTTTGCCTAAAAATCCGCAGTCT